CCCGCATCTCCCACACATCTTCACACATCACACATCTCCCCTGCATCTCCACATATCTCCCCCACATCTCCACACATCTCCCTACATCTCCCCATCTCCACACATCTCCCCCACATCTCCACACATCTCACACACATCTCCCCACATCTCTACACATCTCCCACACATTTCCCCACATCTCCACACATCCCCCACACATCTCCACATATGTCCCCTACATCTCCCCACATCTCCCCGCATCTCTCCCGCATCTCCCAAACATCTCCCCACATCTCCCCACATCTCCCCACATCTCCACACATCTTCCTACGACTCTACTCTCCCCACGGCCCCTATATCTCCACACGGCTACCTACATCTCCCCCTGGTTCCCCATACCTCCCCACAACTCCCGTGGCTCCATACATCTCCCCACATCTCTACACATCTCCCCATTGCTCCCCCACACCTCCCCATGGCTCTCCTACATCTCCCCATGGCCCCCACGGCTCCCCTTGGAATCTTGCTCTCTGCCTTTCCTTTGAGCCCAAAATGTCTGGGCAGAGGCACATGAAACCCCTGATGGGTTCCTCTTTACCCCAGCTTGGAACAAGACCACACCCCCTTCTTGAAAGAAGGAAAAATAATTAGCAACTGAATTGCCATCAACTATGGTTCAGGAGAGCAGCCAGTCCCCAGAGTCTGATCTGAGGGACTCGAATTGAAAAGTGAGAAATGCGAATCGTGTCAGAAAATGGTAACTGACTTTCTCAAGAAGGTGAGACCAGGGCTGGAGCCAGAGAGTGAACCATCCTCAGTGAAAACATGAGAGCTTGCCCAGGGCCGCAGGGAGGCAGGGAGAGCAGCCAGGGCGGCTGAGCTCTCTGAGACCCTGAGTCCCCAAGTGTGGTGGGAGCCGTGACAGGAAGGTGATGTTCAAGGTCAGCAAGGAGGGCGGGTCCCAGAGTGCAGGGCGTGCTGGGGCGAGGTTTCAGTGGGGACCGCCTGGAGCAGAGCAGCTTCTGTAAGCCCAGGGCACAGGTGTAGACCCTCTGCTGCTGGGAGGCCCAGGGTCCAGCCAAGGCGTCCCTGAGCTCAGGCGATGCATACATGCTCTTCACACTTAACACTGGACAGCCGGGGAAGTGCTTCAGTTACAGCGCTGCCCTCCTCAAGAGGTGACCAGGAAGGGGAGGAGGTGTGATGCCAGCGTGTAGACGCTGGAGAAGAGGCGGGGGTGGGGTGGGGATCGGGGTGGGGGAAACACACACAAGTGACCCCCCAGTAAAAGGACAGAAAGGGGGCGTTACAGCAGTGAGTGTCCTGTCAGCGATGGAAGAAAAGCAGAGTGCATTCAGCACACAGCTTTAAATTCTTCAAGAGACGGGGATACCAGAACACCTGACCTGCCTCTTGAGAAACCCGTATGCAGGTCAAGAAGCAACAATTAGAACCAGACATGGAACAACAGACTGGTTCCAAATCGGGAAAGGAGTATGTCAGGGCTGTACATTGTCACCCTGCTTGTTTAACTTACATGCAGAGTACATCATGCAAAATGCCTGGCTGGAGGAAGCACAAGCTGGAATCAAGATTGCTGGGAGAAATATCAATAACCTCAGATATGCAGATGACACCACCCTTATGGTAGAAAGTGAAGAAGAACTAAAGAGCCTCTTGATGAAAGTGAAAGAGGAGAGTGAAAAAGTTGACTTAAAACTCAATATTCAAAAAACAAAGATTGTGGCATCTGATCCCATCACTTCATGGCAAATAGATGGGGAAGCAATGGAAACAGTGAGAGACTTTATCTGGGGGGGCTCCAAAATCACTGCAGATGGTTACTACAGCCATGAAGTTAAAAGACACTTGCTCCTTGGAAGAAAAGCTATGACCAACCTAGAGAGCATATTAAAAAGCAGAGACATTACTTTGCCAACAAAGGTCTGTCTAGTCAAAGCTATAGTTTTTCCAGGAGTCATGTATGGATGTGAGAATTGGACTATAAAGAAAGCTAAGTGCCAAAGAACTGAGGCTTTTGAACTGTGGTGTTGGAGAAGACTCTTGAGAGTCCCTTGGACAGCAAGGAGATCCAACCAGTCCATCCTAAAGGAGATCAGTCCTGGGTGTTCATTGGAAGGACTGATGTTGAAGCTGAAACTCCAATACTTTTGGCCACTGGATGAGAAGAGCTGACTTATTGGAAAAGACCCTGATGCTGGGAAAGACTGAAGGCAGGAGGAGAAGGGGACGACAGAGGATGAGATGGTTGGATGGCATCGCTGAGTTGATGGACATGAGTCTGAGTAAACTCCAAGAGTCGGTGATGGACAGGGAGGCCTGGCGTGCTGCAGTCCATGGGGTCACAAAGAGTTGGACACGACTGAGTGACTGAACTGAACTGAAGGAAGGCTGATGAAGTGATGGCCAAATACACACAGAGTCAAGTGCAGAGTCCAAGGTCGGGGTGGTAGGGTGGCACTGCCAGCCCCGAGTAGAGTAGAATTCAAGGCAGATAGTGTGGAACAGGGCACAGAGGCCTCCAGTTCACATTAGACAGAGCGTGTCACAGAAATCAGAAATTAAAGACCATTAGAAGGAGATACTGCCTCGCAATAATTGTAGTGGGAAAATTCAACACATGATTCCCAGCTGTGATAAACTCAGGAGATAGAATGTGGGTGGAGTATGTGAAAGGTACACTTGTGAGGTTAATTTAATAGAGACATTTTGAAAATTGTAACCTGCAAACAGGAAACTGCTTTTAAACGTGCATGGAACAGATATATGTGAACATACCTGTGAAACAGAACATGACCTGGGCCTCTCCCCTGCTCTCTCAGTCCCTCCCCCAGTGCCTGGGCACCTCACAAGCTCCCAGCCAGGACCTGGTCCCACGGTGGTAAACCTGACCCCTGACCCCACACACGCGGAGAGCGCCTAGGCTGGGCCGGTGTCACCCCTTCCTGCCCTGGAAGCACAGATCTGGGCGGCCGCGGTCTGCCCTGACCCTGCCCCTTGCTCACGGTGCTGTGGGGACCAAGTCGCTCTCTGCTCAGGACTCAGTTTCCCCAGTCTGTAAAGTAAGGGCTGGACCACCTCAAAGATGCTCTGCCTGGGTCAACCCTGAGGAGTTAGCTCCACAGGGCCCAGTGTGCCTGGGGGCCGTCTGCCTCAGCCAGCTCAGTGGCCTCTGACCACGGGCAGCTGAAACCTCCCCTTCCTCAGCAGCCCTCTCGGCCTCCCCGTCCCCCCACTGCCCTGGGGTGTGGGTGCTCCCCACCTGCAGCCTCCACTTCTCGTGGCCCGCTGCACGTGCCGGGCGCCCCGCCTCAGCCTCGGGAGCGCCTCCTCCTGCAGGGCCCGCATGGCCTGTGCGCTGCTCAGCTCGCCCTCCACATGGCGCCAGCCTGGGGGACAAGCGCGGCCGCTTGACTGGCTCCCAGGTCTGGGGGGCACCTGCACGGCCCAGGAGACCAAGGCCCTGAGGGTCTAGGTGGCCGACACCCAGCTGGTGGAGAGGCCTCTGTCTGATCGTCCCCTGCTCTACTTGTCTTGCCCGGAAGCTCAGAGTCCCTAGGGGAGGTGACGCTTTCCCACCCAGCCTTCTCTCCTTCTGGCTTTGCCCCAGGGAGCCCCTCCTTTGGACACTGTGCCAGGCCCCAGCCTGCCTCCTGAGCGGACCCAGCGTGGGGAGGGTACAGAAATGAGGCGGGACCAGCAGGGCAGGGGGCCTGTCTCCGAGGGGGTGACGCAGGGCAGGGACCTAGTGGGTGAAGGGCCACGTGACCACAGGAGCTGGGTGCCATGGTGGGGAGGCCCTGGAGGTCTCTGCACTAGAGAGGAGGTCTGGAGGTCTCTTCCACTCTCTTGCGATGTGGAAGTATGGCTGAGAAAGACCGCCGGCTGCCAAGTGCTGGATGCCCTCGGCGGGTGTGTGCTCCGGGGGCTGGCCCCGGGGCCCAAGCCTGGCGTTTCCCAGGATGCCCCTCACCGTGGTACCTGGGGCAGGGCGGAGGCAGGAGCTCCCGTTCCTCCACCAGCCAGCGCCCTCTGCAGCTGCCCCATGCGGCTCTGGGCCCAGGTGCGCTCACTCTTGGCCTCGCCCCGCAGGGCACTCAGGCCCCCTGCCTGGGAACACCAGATGTCCTGTGGGGGACCAAGGTCGGGGTCAGCCCGTGGGTGGGCAGGCAGTCCATGTGCCTGGCTGGCGGCTGGCAGTGGGGCAGCTCACGGCTGCTTGGGGCAGGGCTCATGGGGGTCCCCAGGGCAGCAGGGCTTGGTCCCTGGAGTGCAGGTCACTGGAGCACTGTGGGGTGACCTGGCCAGCCCCTGGGATGGGTCCTCGGAGGACAGGCATTGCTGCTGGCCGAGCACAGAGGCAGCCGGACAAGGGGGAAGCTGGGCTTCCAGTGGCTCCAGTGTTTAGTGGTGTTTCTCCTACCAGGTCCCGCCAGGGTCTCAGCAGAGGCAGGGTGGACAGACAGAAGGCCCGCGGCCTGAGTGAGCGGCGCCTCCCCGTCCCCCTCAGCCCCGCGGGCGTGTGCTCCCTGCTCCCCTTACCCCTCCTGCTGGGCACCCCCCAGCTTCGGCGTCAAGTCCCTCAGAGCATCCCTCATGGAGGCCCGGGTCCCCCTCTGCCCTGCGGTCTCCAGGGCTGGGCGAGGGCCTCTGGAGCGGCGAGCGGAACCAGCCCTCTGAGCCTGAGGACAGAGGCGACCGCTGGGCCGTGGTGGGGGCGCGGTGGGGACGCTGACGGCGGCTGAGCACGGTGAGGAGGCAGTGGGGACGCGGTGGGCCGCGCTGGGGGCGCAGCGGAGGCGCAGCGGAGCGCGGTGGGGCCGCGCTGGGGGCGCAGCGGAGGCGCAGACGGACGCGCAGACGGACGCAGACGCACAGGCGTCCCGCCCCCTTACGCTGCTGGCCTCACGCTGCTGGCCTCACTCACCGGGAGCGGGGCAGAGCCCTGGGGCGCTGGGGCACCCCGGGCGGGTGACGGGGCGGGCGCGGAGGGCACTGACCTCTGGTGGGGGGGCCGGGCGGCTCAGGAGAGGACAGCCGGCCCCGCTGGCCCTCCGCCTCCCGCCTGGCGCCCTCGGCCTGGGCCAGCTCCTGCTCGAGGCCGTGGGTCCTGCGGCAGGCCCCGTCTGGGCCAGGCTGAAGGCTGTTGGCCGCGCTGTCTGCCTGCTGCAGCTTGCGGGTGACTCTGCGCAGCTCCGCCCGGAGGGTCCGCTCAGACCCCCGGCTCTCGCAGAGCTGCCTCTCCAGCTGCTTCTCCCGGGTCTCGGCCCGGACCTCCACCTCCGCCAGCGTCCGCCGCAGCCTCCGGACCTGTGGGAGGGGTGTGGGGTCTCCAGACCTGCCAAGACTCCCTAGGAGTCAGCCTCACGCCCTCCTTTGGGTTTCACAGGAGGGGGACCCTGGACTTGCCTCCCAGCACGTTTCTGGCAGCAGGGACCCCTGAGCCCGGGTGGGGGCAGCACCCCAAGACCACGAGCAGGTCCCGGCAGGCAGCAGAGAGCCTGGCTGGCAGCCACACGACCCTGGCCAGACAGGGCGACGGCCAAAGGCTGCCCGGTCCTGGGCCTGTGTGGGGCCAGCCCCAGGACCATCTGCCGCGGCTCACCGGCTGTGGTGCTGAGTCCAGGGCACCCACCATGGGCTTCCAAAGGGGTAAACAGGGGACGAGCGGAAGGCTGTCCCGTCAGTGTATGCGGGCCAGTGGCCAGGCCACCCCTCCTCCTGCTCACTTCACTCCTGCCCCCCAAGCCCCCTGCTCCCGACCAGGACCCGTCCCCATGGACCTCCTGCTGGGCCACCGTCCTCTCCCTCCTCTCGGTGGTGAAGCCCCGGGGCGGACGGGCCCTCCCTGACCCAGCCGCACCTCTGCAGCGTCCACCCTGTCCCTCCTGATTCGGATACTCTGTCGGCTGCCGCAGACCCTGCCCGTAGCCTGACTTGTGCCCCAGCCCCCAGGGTGCCCCTCCACAGTTGGGTGAGGGGCCTCTGAATACTTGTGAGCAAATGGGGAATAAACGCAGCCGCCCCCACCCATCGGGAGGTGCCCAGGCCGGGGAGGAGGCAGCCAGGCCCCCCTCACGGTCCTGCTCTGGCCAGATGGAAGCCCTAGGTGCTGGGCACCCACCTCCATCTGCGAGTCCTCATGGGCGGCCTCCGCCTCGGCCACCAGCCTCTGCAGCGCCAGGGCCTCCTGCCAGCTTGGCTCCTGGGCGCCCCGCGTCTGCAGCCGCATCAGCTCCCGGCTCTTTCTCTGGTTCTCTGTCTCCAGCGTCGTCACCTGGACACGGAAGGGCCAGTGTGACGGGGCCGCCAGGGCCCCTGTGCCAGGAGGGGCTGGGGTGGTCAGCGGGCCGTGCTGAGCCCCGCCCCTGCTCACATGCTCTGTGGAGAGGGACCCCCTCTCGGGCAGCAGGCGGAAAGCGGGGAGGCTGAGTCGCGGCTCGCTCAGGGGTGCGGCCTGTCCGCGCCCCGGGAGAGTAGGCCCTAGGAGCTGACCCCTTCAGGCTCTCCCCAGCCTCTGCTGGCACCTCCTGTCTTGGGGCCGGGATCCTGAGGCGCCCAGAGCCGTGAGTGACGCCTGGAGCACAGGCCACGTGAGCAAGGAGTGTGCCCGTGCCTGTCCCTACAGCAGGCTTTTCACCAACCGCCGTGTCTGTAGAAGGCTGAAAAAGTGTGTGTGCACGCTTGGCAGGCCTCCCACACAAGGGGGGCTCTAGGACCCCCATGGGGTGAGCTTGAGACCAAGGCGGTCGTGTCAGTGGTTGCAGTCTCAGGAGCCAAGGCCGGTGGACAAAGCGGTGCCCGTCTGTTCACCCTGAGCTTGGGGGCAGCGTGATAGGAGCCCAGGCCACTGGGGGCATGGGCACTGCCCGGCCGAACCCCCACAGCCAGCATCAGACACCGGGTGCCAGAGAAGGCGCGTCGGGGGAGCCCACCGTCAGTCCCCCGCCCCGTGCGGCCGGGTCTTCTCCCTGTGGTCCTTGCCGAGCAGAGCTGTGCTGACCCCTGGCTGGATTCCTGGCTCTCAGGCTTCATGGGTGTCAGGGAGATTGCTTTAAGCCAGGGAGTTTGGGGCTTGCCTTTGTGTCTCGCTGGCAGGCCCAACCTGGGCCCCGTGGGTCTGAGCAGGGCACTTCGGCCACGGCTCCCAGCCTGAGGACAGTGCCCTGGGGGCGGGGATGGGGGTGCTCCTGGGGGCGGGGCCCGGGTGGCACCCTCACCTGTCTGCGTAGCTTCTGGAGCTGCCGCTGGGTGTCCACAGCCGCCCGCTCCGCCTCCCTCAGGCCGGTCCGAAGCTCGCCTGCCTGCTTCTGGGCTGCTGCCCAGGCCTTCTCCAGGACCAGGACCTTCTGCTCCCTCTCCTCCATGGAGCGCTTGAAGCTGAGTGGAGGGGCGTGCGTGGGCTCAGGCTGGGGAGGGCTTCCGGCACCCCAGGGGACTGTCCTGGTGACCAGCAGGCCGCCATCTCCCCACCTGCAGTCCTAGGCTCCCGAAGCCCAGCCTCTGCAGGCACGCTCTGTCTGGGTGGGACTCAGGTCTCAGTCCCTCTCCCCAGGTTTCAGCCCCCCCCTCCCCAGGTCTTAGCCCCCTCCCCAGGTCTCAGCCCCCTCCCCAGGTCTCAGCCCCCCCCTCCCCAGGTCTCAGCCCCCTCTCCCCAGGTCTCAGCCCCCCCCTCCCCAGGTCTCAGCCCCCTCTCCCCAGGTCTCAGCCCCCCCCTCCCCAGGTCTCAGCCCCCTCTCCCCAGGTCTCAGCCCCCCCTCCCCAGGTCTCAGCCCCCCCCTCCCCAGGTCTCAGCCCCCTCCCCAGGTCTCAGCCCCCCCCTCCCCAGGTCTCAGCCCCCCCCTCCCCAGGTCTCAGCCCCCTCCCCAGGTCTCAGCCCCCTCCCCAGGTCTCAGCCCCCTCTCCCCAGGTCTCAGCCCCCTCCCCAGGTCTCAGCCCCCTCCCCAGGTCTCAGCTCCCTCTCGCCAGGTCTCAGCCCCCTCCCCAGGTCTCAGCCCCCTCTCCCCAGGTCTCAGCCCCCTCTCCCCAGGTCTCAGCCCCCTCCCCAGGTCTCAGCTCCCTCTCCCCAGGTCTCAGCCCCCTCTCCCCAGGTCTTAGCCCCCTCCCCAGGTCTTAGCCCCCTCCCCAGGTCTCAGCCCCCCCCTCCCCAGGTCTCAGCCCCCTCTCCCCAGGTCTCAGCCCCCTCCCCAGGTCTCAGCCCCCCCCTCCCCAGGTCTCAGCCCCCTCTCCCCAGGTCTCAGCCCCCCCCATGTCTCAGCCCCCTCCCCAGGTCTCAGCTCCCTCTCCCCAGGTCTCAGCCCCCTCTCCCCAGGTCTCAGCCCCCCCCTCCCCAGGTCTCAGCCCCCTCTCCCCAGGTCTCAGCCCCCTCCCCAGGTCTCAGCTCCCTCTCCCCAGGTCTCAGCCCCCCCCTCCCCAGGTCTCAGCCCCCTCTCCCCAGGTCTCAGCCCCCCCCTCCCCAGGTCTCAGCCCCCTCTCCCCAGGTCTCAGCCCCCTCTCCCCAGGTCTCAGCCCCCTCCCCAGGTCTCAGCCCCCTCTCCCCAGGTCTCAGCCCCCTCCCCAGGTCTCAGCCCCCTCTCCCCAGGTCTCAGCCCCCCCCTCCCCAGGTCTCAGCCCCCTCTCCCCAGGTCTCAGCCCCCTCTCCCCAGGTCTCAGCCCCCTCCCCAGGTCTCAGCCCCCTCTCCCCAGGTCTCAGCCCCCTCTCCCCAGGTCTCAGCCCCCCCCTCCCCAGGTCTCAGCCCCCTCCCCAAGTCTTAGCCCCCCCTCCCCAGGTCTCAGCCCCCTCCCCAGGTCTCAGCCCCCCCCCTCCCCAGGTCTCAGCCCCCTCTCCCCAGGTCTCAGCCCCCCCCATGTCTCAGCCCCCTCCCCAGGTCTCAGCCCCCCCCATGTCTCAGCCCCCTCCCCAGGTCTCAGCCCCCTCTCCCCAGGTCTCAGCCCCCTCCCCAGGTCTCAGCCCCCTCTCCCCAGGTCTCAGCCCCCTCCCCAGGTCTCAGCCCCCTCCCCATGTCTCAGCCCCCTCCCCAGGTCTCAGCCCCCTCTCCCCAGGTCTCAGCCCCCTCCCCAGGTCTCAGCCCCCTCCCCAGGTCTCAGCCCCCTCTCCCCAGGTCTCAGCCCCCCCTCCCCAGGTCTTAGCCCCCCCCCTCCCCAGGTCTCAGCCCCCTCCCCAGGTCTCAGCCCCCCCCTCCCCAGGTCTCAGCCCCCTCTCCCCAGGTCTCAGCCCGCCCATGTCTCAGCCCCCTCCCCAGGTCTCAGCCCCCCCCATGTCTCAGCCCCCTCCCCAGGTCTCAGCCCCCTCCCCAGGTCTCAGCCCCCTCTCCCCAGGTCTCAGCCCCCTCCCCAGGTCTCAGCCCCCTCTCCCCAGGTCTCAGCCCCCTCCCCAGGTCTCAGCCCCCTCCCCAGGTCTCAGCCCCCTCTCCCCAGGTCTCAGCCCCCTCCCCAGGTCTCAGCCCCCTCCCCAGGTCTCAGCTCCCTCTCGCCAGGTCTCAGCCCCCTCCCCAGGTCTCAGCCCCCTCTCCCCAGGTCTCAGCCCCCTCTCCCCAGGTCTCAGCCCCCTCCCCAGGTCTCAGCTCCCTCTCCCCAGGTCTCAGCCCCCTCTCCCCAGGTCTTAGCCCCCTCCCCAGGTCTTAGCCCCCTCCCCAGGTCTCAGCCCCCCCCTCCCCAGGTCTCAGCCCCCTCTCCCCAGGTCTCAGCCCCCTCCCCAGGTCTCAGCCCCCCCCTCCCCAGGTCTCAGCCCCCTCTCCCCAGGTCTCAGCCCCCCCCATGTCTCAGCCCCCTCCCCAGGTCTCAGCTCCCTCTCCCCAGGTCTCAGCCCCCTCTCCCCAGGTCTCAGCCCCCCCCTCCCCAGGTCTCAGCCCCCTCTCCCCAGGTCTCAGCCCTCTCCCCAGGTCTCAGCCCCCTCCCCAGGTCTCAGCTCCCTCTCCCCAGGTCTCAGCCCCCCCCTCCCCAGGTCTCAGCCCCCTCTCCCCAGGTCTCAGCCCCCCCCTCCCCAGGTCTCAGCCCCCTCTCCCCAGGTCTCAGCCCCCTCTCCCCAGGTCTCAGCCCCCTCCCCAGGTCTCAGCCCCCTCTCCCCAGGTCTCAGCCCCCTCCCCAGGTCTCAGCCCCCTCTCCCCAGGTCTCAGCCCCCCCCTCCCCAGGTCTCAGCCCCCTCTCCCCAGGTCTCAGCCCCCTCTCCCCAGGTCTCAGCCCCCTCTCCCCAGGTCTCAGCCCCCTCCCCAGGTCTCAGCCCCCTCCCCATGTCTCAGCCCCCTCCCCAGGTCTCAGCCCCCTCTCCCCAGGTCTCAGCCCCCTCCCCAGGTCTCAGCCCCCTCCCCAGGTCTCAGCCCCCTCTCCCCAGGTCTCAGCCCCCCCTCCCCAGGTCTTAGCCCCCCCCTCCCCAGGTCTCAGCCCCCTCCCCAGGTCTCAGCCCCCCCCTCCCCAGGTCTCAGCCCCCTCTCCCCAGGTCTCAGCCCCCCCCATGTCTCAGCCCCCTCCCCAGGTCTCAGCCCCCCCATGTCTCAGCCCCCTCCCCAGGTCTCAGCCCCCTCCCCAGGTCTCAGCCCCCTCCCCAGGTCTCAGCCCCCTCTCCCCAGGTCTCAGCCCCCTCCCCAGGTCTCAGCCCCCTCCCCATGTCTCAGCCCCCTCCCCAGGTCTCAGCCCCCTCTCCCCAGGTCTCAGCCCCCTCCCCAGGTCTCAGCCCCCTCCCCAGGTCTCAGCTCCCTCTCCCCAGGTCTCAGCCCCCTCTCCCCAGGTCTCAGCCCCCTCTCCCCAGGTCTCAGCTCTCTCCCCAGGTCTCAGCCCCCTCTCCCCAGGTCTCAGCCCCCTCTCCCCAGGTCTCAGCTCTCTCCCCAGGTCTCAGCCTCCCCTCTCCCCAGGTCTCAGTCCCTCTCCCCAGGCCTCAGCACCCCCCCAGCCCCTCCCAGTCCCCGTGGCCCCTCTGAAACTCCCCGTGAAGGCCCGGCTGTCCTGCCCCTGGGGGCCGCTTTCACTCCCCAGCCCTGGGCTGTCTCCTTCCAGCCGCTCAGGGCCTATCTTGTCTATTGGACAGAACTTCTCGAGGGTGAGGACAGGACCAGGGCATCCCAGCCTCCCCATCCCAGGCCTGCACTGTGGACTGTCTGGGTGGGCAGCTGGCACCCCGGGCCTTCCTGGTGGGCGCTCTGCACCATCGTCGGGCCCCGCCCAGTAGGACGCCCTGTGTCTCACCCGCCCTGCCCCTGGGGCCTAACCCGGCCAGGCTGGTGAGAGTTGCTCCTGGGGGCCACCCTACCTGGCCTTCTCCTGCTCGGCCCAGCGGATGGCGGCCCGCAGCTCGGTGTTGGAATCCCGCAGCGCGTCCTTCTCGCGGGCTGCGTCGGCCAGCGCCCGGTGGGCATCCTGGGCCTCCCTTTGCAACCCCTCCCGGGCCTCCTCACTGCCCTGCAGCTCCCGGCGCAGCGCAGCCAGCACCTCGCGGGCCTCATCCAGTTGCACCCGCAGAGTCTCGGCCTGAGGGGGAGCGGGTGGCTCTAGGGGCAGCGGAGGGCCACGGGCCGGGCTCCGGCCACAGCAGTGTCCTCAGCCTCGGGTCCTCCAGCCTTGAAGGAGAAGCAGGAGGCCTGGCTTTGCCCGGCCCAGTGAGGCTGCAGGGCGGCTCCTGGGGCCCATCCATGACCCTGGCAGAGAACACCCCGACCCTTTCTGACCCTGGAGTGACACTGGGCTCCCTCCCCGCACGCCTTGGACCTGGTCACTGGTCAGCAGGGCCTGTGAGGGACATAGCTCTGCCCACTGGCTACACTGTCCCCACCTGCTGTCCTTCAGTGAGGATGTGGGGCCCTAGCCTCCCCGCCCCGGTGCAGACAGACGCCTCGTGCCCCGGGCCCTTGAACGCTGCCCCCTGCCTGCGGCCTCAGCTCCCACTTGGTGAAGGGGGAGTGGAGGGACGGGACTGTGGAAGGACGGGGCACGGGGAGGGCTGTCTCGGGCAGGCTCCCTGAAGATCCTCCGGCTGCAGCAGAGCCGCCAGGGCCAGGCTGTTGCCGTCACAGGAGCAGGTGTCGGGGCCTGCCCCGGCGTGGAGGGCCTCAACCCCAGGGAAGACTGTGGAGCAGGTGGGGACCTCAGGCTGCTCTGGGCCTCTGTGTGCCGAGCCAGGTGGGGGGATGGGGCAGGTGTGCCCTTGTCCCCTGCCAGACCTGTGCTGGCCCCGGAGGAGGGCCCCCGCCACGCTGGGTCTGGTGTCTGTGTCACCCCATAACCGGGGCCTCCTCACCCACAGCTTCCAGGCAGGGCCTGGGGAGTTAGTGGTTTTTGGAGTCTGAGAGCTCAGCTGAACCATGGGTGGGTGTCAGCGGCCCTAACTGCCCTGGGACACAGGTTGCCTGCAGAACCCTGGGCTCAGCCCCTGCTGGGGGGCGCTGGAGGGCAGTGCAGACCCCGGGAAGGGGCAGACCGTCCTGGATGCAGGGACTATGGGGTGGGGGCTCGTCGAGGCTCAGCCAGGACCTCGGGTCTCCCCTCTGACCAGGGAACCCTGGAGAAGGCATGTCCCTCAGCCCCTGCAGGAAGAGATGGAGGAGGCCTCTAGGGGAACCACACGAACTGAGTGGTGTCAGGCCCTGGCTTGCCAGAAGCGAGCCCCACTCTGTGGCTGCTGCAGTGGGGCACTCTCTGGGTCTCTGGCCATGGCTCCCGCGTCCGCCCATGGTTCTTGTTGTTCTGTTTTTGGGAAGGGCCGCTCTCCACTCCCCTCCCACCCCCCACATGTGGGAGCCACAACCGTGAGCAGCGTTTTCCGCCGAGCTCAGCAGAAATCCACCCTGAAGGTCAAGGACCAGCGAGAGGGCCTATCCATCATAAAAAGCTGTTTTCATTTCCCAGGGCTGAGGAGATGAAAACAAGCAAAACAAACGCAGGGGACCCCCCTCCCCCCGCCTCGTGAGAACAACCATCCCTTTTACAGGAATTTTACAGCCAAATCGCTTAATGTGATTATAATAATTATTTCTTTACTAGAAATTGTATGAACAGCCTCTTTTGAAATCTCCTGCGGGGAGGTGACCCGAGGGCTCCGCATGGAGTCGGGAAAGCAGGGAGGGGCCGTGCGGGCCCCGGGCCTGCGTGTGAGAACACGTGCATGTATGCACGTAGCATGTGCAAGCGTGTGGTGTGTGCATCCACACACATCTATGTGCAGACATGCGTGCTCATGTTCACCCACATGCGTGATGCATATGCACGCAAGTGTGCATGGAGTCGTGTGTGCTGCTTGCTGCACGTGTGGTGTCCACATGTGTTTGCATATGTGAGTGCATGTGTGTGTGCTGTCACTGTTCCTCTGCATGGGAGCATGGTCTTTACATGCATGGAGGTGTGTGCACTGCATATGAGCTGTGTGGTGGTGCATGCACACACATACGCACACACACATGTACACATGCACACACATGTGTACCTCAGGCAGGGCTGCCAGAGGGCTGGATGTCCCTCCAGTTTAAAGGCTGTGAAATGTTATGGTTTCCATGGTGACTCTGGGCCAGCCTGGCGCCTGGGAGGGCTCCCCAGGCTCCCTCTCTCTGCCATTGTTCCCCTTGCTCCCCTTACCCGCTTCAGCCTCCGCATCACCCCAGCCCCTTCCTGGGGCCCCTCTCCTTTCTGGGGGCGGCGATCAGGGAACCCGAACTTCCCACGAGGCTGTGCTCTTCCCCTTTACCCCCAGCACGACGTGCCCAGCCTCCCCGGCTCCTCCCCCTGCTGCCCCCCGTGTTAAAGCCTCACTCTGCTTCCCCGTGTGGTCGCTGACCAGGCCTGACTTCGAAATCTGTTGAAAAGAGACCTTTCTCTTTGGGGCCAAAGTAAACAGGCTGTCATGTTAAATCACGCTCTCTTCCTCTGGCGGCCCCACTCGGGGTGCTGGGGGTGGGCCCAGCCCCTCTCTGCGCTTGCTGCGCCCCTGCCAGCCTTGGCACCCGGCCCGGGAGTGCACGAGGTCGCGGGCCCCATGGCCCCTCCCCGCCCCATGCCCTCCTGCCCTCCCCCCTCCAGGCGTCCCCAGGCCTGTCAGAGCCCCTTCGTCAACACCTCCCTGCTCTGCCTGCTGAGCCCACTCACCCGCCCGCTCGCCTGCCTGGGGCCTCTCCTGGCTGGACTCCCCCAGGACACCTCACCCGGCTCCTGGAGCCCGGAGCTGGCCTCAGGGCCTTGGCGGGCCCGTACACGGCTGCCCCCAAGCACACCTCTAACCCTGACCCTGGGGCCGCGTGCGGGGTGGGCAGCGCCGTCTTGAACAGGCTCTCCCCACGGCTGGTTGGACGGCGGCGCCTGGCTGGGGTCCCTGCCTGCCCCTGGGAGCCCCGGTACTGCCCCTCACCTCTCTCCCCGCACTGCTCCGCTGGGCCACCTGCGCCCGGAGTGTCTCTCGCAGGACCCTGGCCTCCGTCTGGTGGGCAGAGATGGAGTCTTCAAACTGGGCCTGCAGGGCCTTCAGCTCTGCGGTCACGGTGCTGACGGTGGCCTGGGGGCGCAGCAAGCGGCCTTGGGGTCAAGGGGCCGCCCCAGGTGGGGGTAGCGGGCCGTCTGCTCGGTCCCCCGCGGGCAGCTGCATGCCGTCCTGGGCCAGCTGGATGGCTCACTCGGGCCCCGAGAGGCAGGCCTGCCACTCCAGCTGACCGGGTGCTGGGTCCTGAGGGGTCACAGCAGTGAAGGGTGCTGGGGCGCAGGGGACAGAGGCCCCACGGGGAGCTTCCCAGGGAAAAGCTGGCCGCTCCCGAACTTCCAAGCAGGCCGTGGCACGGGGGACACCCAGAGCCTCCCCGGCTCTAAGTGTGTGAGCACCCACCACACGCCTGGGAGGGGTCGGGGGCTCTGCCTGCAGCCCTCGGGCAGGGTCGTCCTGGTCCAGACCCCGTGGCCGGGCCCCGAGCTTGGACACCCTTTGGGAAGGACCCAGCTTGGCCTGACTCTGCTCTCCCGTGGTCCCAGTCCAGGGCGCTCCCTCTGCTGACCAAGGGGCCCCCGGAGCAGCAGTGCCCCACTGCTCGAAGCCCCTACTGTCGTGCACGGGACGCCGCCTGCTCACCCTGAGCCCCGGCCCAGCCCAGCCTCCCCCGCCCGGGACCCTGCTGCTGCCAACAATGGGGCTCGGGGGGTGACCACCAGGACCCCTGGATCTGCAGGCCGCTGCCTGAGGGCTCTGGCGGGGGACGCTCCATCAGGCTGTGCCCCTGCCCTCGGGGAAGGAGCTGCGCGGGTGCCGCCTGTACCCCCAGCTGCCCCTCTGCCCTGACAAGTGCGCCTTGGGCGGTCAGGTCTGGCGGTGCCCCCAAGGTGGCCCCAGGGAGGCTGCAGCGAGGGCATGGTGTTGCCTGGCGGGCAGGGGTGGCTCCTGCAGTGATGGGCCACAGGGCGGGGCTGGGAGCCCCTCCACACGTGGGGGACTGCTCGCAGGTCACCCACAACTGGTGTTCCTTGGCTGCTCTTCTTTCCACCCTCCCCCCACAGTGGGTTTTAATTTCCAGGCCAAGGTGGTGAAAGAACCTTTTATGAGCTCCCAGAAGAGCTGGGCTGGCAGGCGCCCTCACCCCGGTCAGCTCGAGGGAAGGCTCCCGGGGGACCCTGCCAGCTGGGGCTTCAGCTTCTGGGTCTTGGGGGTCTTTCCTGGTCCCCTGACCACAGGGTGGTCGGAAGGAACAACTGGGCAGAGGTCCGGGAAGTGAGGCCCCCAACCCCAGGGGGCTTCTACAGCCCTCCCGGCTGTGCCCATGGAAGGGCCATCTGGCCTCGGGGGTGGGGCCAAGCCAGGCGGGGGCTCCCAGGAGGGATGCTCTTGGGCAAGACTGTCCCGGGTGCCGGGAGAGGCTCTGCTCAGTGACCCCGGGAGCCGGGTCCTGCGTCAGGCAGCAGGGGGTGAAGAAACACCGTGGCAGCCAGCTCCTGATTGCAACACTCCTCCTGCCTCTCAGTGCCTCTCTCCCCTCCACCCTGCGGGGCCCCTGCACCCCTCCCTACCCAGTGCCCCCTCTGCCCAGCGCCCCTCCTCCTCCCAGCGCCCCTCCCCCTGCCCAGCGCCCCTCCTCCTCCCAGCGCCCCTCCCCACCCGGTGCCCCTTCCCACCCAGTGTCCCCCAGTGCCCCTCCCCCAATCCAGTATCCCCCTGCCCAGCGCCCCTCCCCCACTCAGCGCCCCCACCCAGTGCCCCTCCCCCTGCCCAGCGCCCCTCCCCACCCAGTGCCCCTTCCCACCCAGTGCCCCTCCCCCCAGTGCCCCTCCCCCACCCAGTGCCCCTTCCCACCCAGTGTCCCCCAGTGCCCCTCCCCCCAGTGCCCCTCCCCCAATCCAGTATCCCCCTGCCCAGCACCCCTCCGCCCGCTGTCTGGTAGGTTGGTGCAAACTGCATGGCCTCTCCAGGTCCTGTGGTCTGGTGTCCAGCCCTCGGTCCGGAGGTACGCCCACTCGGCCTCTCATGAGCAGGCCCTGCTCGCGGGGTCAGCTCTGGGCCTAACCCTGCAGTCCGCGTGCGGTCCGCTCACTCGTTCTCGGATTCCCTGAGTCGTTCACCAACAGGGGAGCATCTAAGCCTGCACCCCTGGGGCTAGGGGCACGCCGGGCACCAGTGGGGCGGGCAGGTGGCCCAGCCAGGACAGACGCAGGAGCAGAGGGGACAGGGTGCCAGCCCGGCTGCGCCAAGTGAGGGCGCTGAGGGGATTTGGCAGCCGGGGGGCCTCACCCTGACCAGCCCTGCCCCCTGCAGGGGTCTGGGCCTACCCCCAACCTGAACCCTGTCCTGAGCTGTCACCCCCACCCCTCCCGTCTGCTCCCCACCAGCCCCCCGGGGTCCTGCCTGACTGCACCAGCTGCCCCAAGTCCTGCCACCCGGCTCTGCCCCCCTCCAGAGCGGCACCCACACTCCATAAATGGGCCCGCAGGCTGGGGGCATAGGGCCCAGGGGCCCACCTCACTCCCCAGAGTCTTGGTTGCTGTTGCCTGCCCTGCCCCCAGATGTGGGCTCCTGAGGAGGAGCTGGGGCCCCAGGTGACCAGCTGGCCGCCCGCAGTGGCCTCCATGCCCTGTGGGCCTCCGTCCACTGGCCCAGGCGGGCATGGCCTGCTGGGGTCTCCTGGCCCCTTGGATGCCCCCCTCCTGCCCTGCTCAAAATTCTCCGCAGGGTCTTTTCCGGGCAGTCTCTGCCTCAGGTCCAACGCGGCCTCCCCAGCTGCGCTTCTCCTCGGGGAGGGGACTCCCCAGAGAGTCAGCCGAGGCCTCTGAGCCTCCAGCAGCTGCGTCTCACCACGCCGGGGGACTGGCGGTGCAGACCCGGGCTCTGTCCCCTCTTGTTGCTGGTGCCAGGTCCTCCCCTCTGTGGCTTCTGCAAGGGTGTGTGGCCTGCCCACCCTCCCCTCCTTGGCACCCCCCCCATCCTGCTCTGTCACCTTTTCGTCCCATGGAGACACTCTCCCCCCAGCAGGGAGCTGGAGTCATCTGGGGGAAACTGAGGTTCAGGCGGCTGCGGTGGGGTGGAGGGGAGACCCCCCCGGGGTCAGGCAGGGAGGGGGTGCCTCTGGGGTCCGCTGCGCCTGCTGGGCCGTGCAGGCAGCCAGCCCAGGCGTCCGGCTCTGGCCGGGAGGGGCTCACCTCGGCTCGTTCCTGCTGGCCCTGGGCCTCCTGCCGCACCAGCTGCAGCTCCCCCCGCAGCCGGCTCAGCTCCGCGTCCCGCACAAGCAGGGCCTGCGTGACAGGGGGGGCACTCCTGAGCAGGCTGGGGGCTCTGACGAGAGGTTCAGCAGGGCGCTGGGAGTCACGGCCCCGACACCAGGAAAACGGGCTCTAGGAGCAGGGAGCCCCTCGGAGGCAGCTGAGTCCCGAGGAAGCGGGTCCCGCCTGCTCCCCGCTCCCGTCCCTGCCCAGGGTGCCCACCCCACTGGCACCTGCCCAGTACCTGCTCTTCCCCAGCATAGGTCAGGGGGCTTCATGGACTACCTCCCCCCTGGAGCCCCCCACCCACCCCTGGCACAGAGCAGGAACCACGGACAGGTCTTGACCTCCCCAAACGCTCTGCGTCGCTGAAGGTGAAGGGTGTGCAAGGGACCCCGGGGGTGTTGCGTCACACCCATTGGCCCCAAGGTGGGAGGGCCCTGCTCTGTTACCAGGCCGGAGGGGACACTCGGAGTGGCTCACAGACATGCCTCCCCCAACACCAGACCCATGGAGACCCCTGAGAGTCCTGTCATAGTGTGATAACCCACATGTAGCTGTTTACTTATCTGTTCCAGTCACTCAACAGTGCGTGCTTCAGGATGGCACGGGAGGGCAGCCTGGAGGTGTGCGTGTATGATCGTGGGTGGGATGCCCTGCTTCCGGGGTCTCCAATGATTATTTCTAGCATTAGTGATAATAGCCGCAGAACTCCCATCAGGGGGAGGCCAGCAGATGGAAGGGGGGACCCCTGTGCCCCCCAGGGTGACGTCAGCTGTGGGAACCGTCCATCCAGTGGGAGGGGGTCTGGGGGAGTATGGATACATGTATATGTATGACTGAGTCCCTGTGATACTCACTGGAAACTACGACACTGTTAATCAGCTACATCCCAATGCAAAGTGCTTTTGGTGTTTAAAAAAAAAAAAAGGACCACGCGGCCCAGAGCTCAGTGTGGAAGGACCCGTCTGGTTGGCGGTCCTGCGAAGAGAAAGGCCTGGGGTGCTGCCTATGCGACAAAGGCGGGCACGGCGGTGTCGATGCCCACATGCCGGTCTGCGCACAGCCGTCTCCCGGAGGAGCTTTTGTAACAAAGAATGTGTCTGCCTTTGGCCCCGGGTCCCAGGGGAGCCTGGAAACCCCTGAAGCATCCCGAGGGAGGGGTGTCCGTTATGCACCCACCCTGAGACCGCACCTGAGCGTGCGCTCACAAGGTGATGGGGGGCGTGCAGAGAGGCCCCCCTACCCCACCGCCCAGCTCAGGAGGAAGCTGGGCCCTGGGTGTAGCTGATCACACGCAGGCAAGGCAACCCCAACAGAACCCTGAACTTGCCGGGTTAAACACCCTGATCTGCCAGCGGGTGACCTGCGCTGACTCTGCGGAGAGACGGCCCTTCCCTGGGTCTCTCCACCAGACTTGTCCTGACCTGTAACTTTTACAGCAAAACCGTAACGGCGAGAGTCATGCTTCCTGGAGTTCCACAAGCCACTCGGGGGCAGCGGAAGCTGAGGAGTTTGCCCAGGATCTCACACCTTCCCTGGACGTTCGTAGGATGCCTCCAGGTCCTCCTTTACCCCTCACCCTTGACATGCTGCCGCCCAGCAAACCCTTGCTTCCTCCCTCCCAGGATGCAGGAGAGCGGAACAGCGGAGGACGCTGGCCTTGGTGCCCAGCAGGTGCACGGAGCCACTCCGGGCAAGTTATTCACCATCTGCAAATCTGTCTCCCACCAGTCAAGGGGGCCCTGTAAAGAGGGTGTCCCTCACAGTGTTGTGAGGATGAAACCAGCCATGCAGAAGAGTCTGACAGTAAACCTTGGTTATTTCTGCGACTGTGACTCTTCCATCGCAATTTGTACTTTGTACTAACACCTGAGAGGCCTGTCACAGTGCGATAACCCACATGTAGGTATTCACTTGTCTATTCCACCCACTCAGCAGTGCGTGCTTCTGGATGGCATGGAATACTGGAAGAGCCTGGTCTCAGCGGGTAGCTTTCATGTGCCCAGTGTCTGGTTAGAGGCTGTTTGGATGGTTGGCTGATGGGGGAACACACTGACAGATGACTGGCTGGCTGATCAGATGGATGGAAGGATAACCAGATGCACGGATGGACAGTGCATGAATGTGGATGGGCAGCTGAGTGTGTGGACAGAGGGAAGGGTCTGCAAGTGACTGATGGATGAGTAGTTGAGTGAGTGAGTACATGGGTGGCTGAATGAGAGGATGGATAGTCCTGATGGTCATGTGCGTGGATAGCTAGATGGGTATTTAAGCAAATTGATGGATAGATTTATGGTCGTGTGGATAGACAATTGGGTATGTTGATAGACGACCAGATATGTGGGTAGACAGCTGGGTATGTGAATAAAGGATGAACATTCAGGTGGATAGATGGATGATGGACAACATGGATGTGTGGCATGGACATGGATGTGTGAATGGAAACACAGTGCGTGTGCATAGATGTGTAAATGCTGTTGTTGTTCAGTCACTAAGTTGTGTCCGGCTCCTTGTGATCCCATGAACTGTAGCTTGCCAGGCTGTCCTGTCATTCACTGTCTCCTGGAGTTTGCTCAACTCATGTCCATTGAGTGGGTGATGCCATCCAACCATCTCATCCTCTGTTGCCCTCTTCCGCCCCGGCCTTCAACCTATCCCAGAATCAGGGTCTTTTCCAATGAGTTGGCTCTTTGCATCAGGTGGCCAAAATACTGGAACTTCAGCTTCAGTATCAGTCCTTCCAATGAATATCCAGGGTTGATTTCCTTTAGGATGGACTGGGTGGATCTCCTTGCAGTCCAAGAGACTCTCCAGAGTCTTCTCCAACACCGCAGCTCAAAAGCAGCAATTCTTTGGCTCTCAACCTTCCTCATGGTCCAACTCTCACATCCAAGCGTATACTGCTGGAAAAACCATAGCTTTGGCTAGATGGATTTTTGTCGCCAAAGTAATGTCTCTGCTTTTTAATATGCTGTCTAGGTTCATCATAACTTTTCTTCCAAGGAGCAAGCACCTTTGAATTTCACGGCTGCAGTCACCATCTGCAGTGGTTTTGCAGCCCAAGAAAATAAAGTCTGTCACTGTTTCCAGTTTTTCTCCATCTATTTGCCATGAAGTGATGGGACCAGACGCCATGATCTTCATTTTTTGAATGTTGATGTTTGAGCCAACTTCTTCATGCTCTTCTTTCACCTGTATCAAAATGCTCTTTAGTTCCTCTTCACTTTCTGCCTTAAGCGTGGTATCATTTGTATATCTGAGATTTTTTATATTTCTCCCGGCAATCTTGATTGCAGCTTGTGCTTCATCCAGCCTATGTTTCTCATGATGTACTCTGCATATAAATTAAATAAGCTGGATGACAATATACACCCTTGACATACTCCTTTCCCAATTTTGACCCAGTCTGTTGTTCCATGTCTGGTTCGAACTGTTGCTTCTTGACCAGCATACAGGTTTCTTAGGAGGCAGGTAAGGTGGCCTGGTATTCCCATCTGTTGAAGAATTTTCTTCAGTGGTTGTGATCCGCAGTCAAAGGCTTTAGCATAGTCAATGGAGCAGAAGTAGAGGTTTTTCTGGAACTATCTTGCTTTTTCTATGATCCAGTGGATGTTGGCAATTTGATCTCTGGTTCCTCTGCCTTTCCTAAAACCAGCTTGTACATCTGCAAGTTCTTGGTTCACGTACTGTTGAAGCCTGGCTTGAAGGATCTTGAGCATTATCTTGTGAGAATGTGAAATGAGTACAATTGTGCGGTAGTTTGAACATTCTTTGGCAGTGTCCTTTGGGATTGGAATGAAACTTGACCTTTTATAATTTGTATAAATATATGTGTATATAAGTGGGCAGGTGGACTAATGGGCAAAATGGGTGGATGGGTGTGTGGGTGGGTGAATGTCTGGATAGACAGGTGGGTGGATTCATAGACGGATGGCTGGACAGGTGGCTGGATGGACAGATGGTTGGGTGGGTGGACAGATGGATGGAGGGACTGAGAGGAGGGTGAATGTCCACCAGGACTGCAGTGGGAGATCAGAGCTGCAATTACAGTGACTCACACAGTGGCCCACACAGCCCTCTTACTAGGTCGGAGCAGGCACGGCGAGTGGACAGGGGCCCCCCGCCCCATGGTCGCCCGGTCACCTGCTGCTTCTCATTCTCCAGCTGAAGGAGACGCTCGTCTCGCTCACGCCTTAGGCTCTGAATTTCCTCCTTCAGCGCCTCCCTCCTGGTTGCATTCTTCGCCACTAGCTCCTTCTCCCGTTTCAGCCGGCATGCCGCTGCTTCCTTTTCTTCCATCAGAGACAGACTCAGGGTCTCCTGGGCCGAAGGAGGGGGCAGGTGTGAAGACACACAGGTCAGAGCTTGTGAGAGCAGCAGGCATCTGCGCTCCTGAGTGAGAGCAGGTCCGTGGACGCTGGGGCAGGACAGCTGCCCGGGGGGCGTCCAGGCCAGCCGGCCGCAGGCCCCGTCTCCCGCAGTGACAGGAGCTGTGGAGGGCTCTGAGCCTTAGCACCCGCCACCCTGTGGTCCAGTCACAGCTCAGAAGCCGTTCCTGAGCTCGGAGCACCAGGCACCCTGACGCCAGGGTGTGTGAGGACATGTCACTCGGGGCCTGCCGGCCTGGGACCAGTGGACGGCTCTGATGGCACGGAGCTTCCTGTGAATACGGGCCTCGGACCGTGGCAGGTCAGCTGGCACCCTGGGGCGCCTCCTCTGTGAGGGCCGTGAGCGGTCCTCCTGCCCAGTGCCAGGGTGGCCCGGCCCACCTGCCACCCGCTGGTCTCCTGGGCTCGCCGCCTCTGAGGACACAGCAGGGACACGTCCCTGGGCAATGACCAGGCAGCTGGGGGCGGGGGTCCCGGGAAGGCAGACCTTCTCCCTCTGGAGCCGCGTGAGGTCCTCGCGGTGGGCCAGTGCCCGGCTCTCCAGGGCCAGCTGCACATCCCGCTCCCGTTGCGCCACCTGCTGCCGCAGCCTCGTCTCCTGAGCCTCCCAGGTGCTCTGTAGCTGCTCCAGTTCCCCTGCCAAGGGACAGGCACGTCCAGACCCGCAGGGAGGCCCGGCCCCGCAGCACCCTGCCGCCCGTGGGCCCCTGGCTCTGGGGAGGCTGCAAGCCGGTGGGACAGAGCCCCCCAACCACTCAGCAGGAGTATGTCTTGATGGCAGCCTGCTCGGCTGGGGTGGGCTGAGCAGAGGCAGGGGCACGGGGAGTGGGCAGCGGCTGCCACATGGGCCTTGTGACAGAGCCCATCCCGAGCCTTGGGCCGGCAGCAGGCCCGGTGGGCGCCCGCCAGTTGCAGACAGCAGCGGCAGGGGCTCTCGGCTGACTTTAGACGTGAGCTCCCTGCCGTGTTTGGCCCCACTGGGGTGCAGTGAGTGGAAGCCGCCCAAGGTGGGACAAGCTCGGGGAAGGGGGAGCAGAGGGAGCTCATCGGGGCAGCACCTTGCAGGGTCTGCCGGGCCAGCCGTGCGCTCCGGGCCTCTCCCTCCAGCTGCTCCTGCTGTGCCTGCAGCTGCGTTGCCAGCTGTTGGGCCTCAAAGAGGCTGCTCTCCAGGGCGTCCCTCTCGGCCCTGCAGAGAGTCATCACACCACAGGCGAGTCACCCACGCCGGCAGAGGACCCTGCTGGACGAGGCAGCGTGGAGCCCATTTGCTGGGATGGTGTCCTCCAAGGCCGGGCCGTCAATCAGAAGGCAGACCGAGGATGCCTCATTCATTTTAAATCTCTAAGAACAGATTGGAGCCCACACAGAAAACATTCCAAGTGGATTAAAAAGCTAAATACAAAACCAAAATAGATAACAACTAAGCAACTCAGAACTGTGAAAACCATAGAAGAAAGTACAGAAGGGTATTTTATAATCTGAAGCAGGACACAAAGTCAGAAGACAAAAATAAGGAGGCCAACAGCTCTGAATACATTTAAAGAGAGGGAGACAGAGTTCTGTGCAGAAAAGATTCCACAAATCAAGGCAAAAGATGGGGGACAGACTTGGAGACAATATTTGCACTAAATATATTATGGTTAATATCCATCATATAAAAAGAGCTCCTACCAATCAATGACAGAAAGTGGCTTATCTGACAGAAAAATGAGAACAATGGCTGTTATTCACAAAGAAAACAAGAATGGTGAATAAACATATGAAACTCACTAGTCCTCAAGGGGGTTCAGATCTTATCTGTGCTGTTTCATCCATCATGCATCACGTTAGCAAAGCTGAAAATAGTCATCATATCTCTTGTTGGCAGGGGTGCAAGGCCCACTTTGGCAGAGGGGGACTAGGAAATTTTAAAACATAAACTGTGCAAAGATTTTGTTTGGGCCAGCAATTCCAGTTCTAGGGGTCAGCGCTTTAGAAACACACGTGAACCAGTGACTCAGTACAGGACACTCCCCGTAGCCTCCGATAGGGCCTGAATCTGACTCAGCATCCATGCCATTCAATTCGAGAATGTTTCAGAAACCACAGTGCATCTCGTCCGCTGCTAACGACGATGAGGAAACTGTGCCCTCTCTGAGGAGCAGCCTCCAGTGCAGAACACGCACAGCACCATCCCCGGCATGGAGAAGCTGCCTCTGCGTCTGGGCAGACACGGCCAGTCAGAAAATGCCTGGGATGGACAGGGCGACTCAGCAGCTCCCGCTTCTGGGGAGGGTGATGGCGGGACCTGCTTCTCCAGCAGCAAGTCCGTCAGTCACCAGCCAGACAGTGAGCACGCATTCATATTAATGGTATGTGCTGTGTCCTGCACTGATGCACGGTGAAAAAAATCCACTGACCGAACAACAGGGATACAAAACAAACACTCCGCACCGATGTCACGTGAAGACACAGCCCACGCCCAGCCCCAGACAAGCCGGCGGGCCAGGGAGGGCTGTGGGCCACAGAGGACCTTGCTCAGCCTGCCTGGCCCCCAGAGTGTCCCTCGGGCCCTGCACATGGCCGCCGCTAGTGTCGGGGTGGGGCGTGTCAGCACCTCCCAGGGCGCCCTGAGGTCTGCAGCGCCCAGGAGCCTCACTGCTCTGGTACCCTGGCCCTCCAGTCCCCACCCTCGAAGCCCCGTGCATTCCCTGCTCCTCATGTCCGTCTGCCTGTGCCCTATGCCTGGAGGGCTCTTCCCAGTGCCCTGTCCACTTCACATGCACTTTCTCCCAGGTGCCCACCTGGTCCCCTCTGGGGGACGTGGCCTGTGTGGATCAGACACTGAACGGTCACCCAGAGGCAGAGACTCTGAGAACGAGTCCAGTCTCTCCCCCATCCCACCTCCTGGAAGGCAGCTGGCACCACCAGCAAGGGCGAAGGGGGTGCAGGCGTGGACTCAGTCCATCTTGCTGAAGCCTGAGAACTAAGAGGGGTCCCTGGTGCTGCAGCCTTGTCAGGGCCTGGGACTGGGGGCCGGACGACCTCAAAACCCAGGGTCCTCACTCATTAGGAGAAGCAAGTCATGTCCCAAGCACCTTGTCAGCAGAAGCTCAGACTGGTCACTGGGAAACACTGTTTAGTGGGTGTGTGACTCTGTCTGGGGTCTGCAGGACCACTGTGTGCAGAGGCCCTGGGCCCAGTGGTCACGGGTGAGTCAGGGGAGGGTCCTCTGACCAGGTCCTGTGGGCTGGGCAGCAAACGATGGCAGGAGGAAAGAGGTGCCCGACCCCCCCGCCCTCAGAGTGCCGGGGCATGGGAGGGGTCCAGGGGCGGAGCCTGGGACCCTCTGATTTTGCCCACCCACAGAGACCTCGTCAGGCTTCCTGCTGCACTCTGTGCCCACACTTTCATTGGGAGGGGAGTCTTCCCTCTTTCCTTCCCCTTTTCTTCCATGACAAAGTTCAAGGATCCTGATCTCTAAATTTCCTCATGGCCTCTAGTTCTGGAATTCTGGGAGGAACTCTTTCTATAAAAACACTTGGATGTTCCTGAGATGGGTGCAACGTGCAGAAAGCCATGAGCCTCTGGATGTCCTCAGAGGTCACAGGCCAGCTCAGCTCACCAGGCAACCGTCTGCAGGGCACCCCTTCTTGCCTACGAGTGTCTGCCCCAGCTCTCCTGGAAGTGGCCCCGATGGTTTAAGGGTTTACCCTGCCCCCTCAGCCTCATGGTTCCCTGGGGCTGCCACCACCCAGGCTCCAGGAATAAGCATAGGGCCCCAGTCTGCCCATCTGTGCCCTGTGGCTCCCAGGATCCATTCAAGGACATAGAATGGTTCAAGATGGCTGTGGGCAGAGGCTCTCAGGACTCATGGGGCAAAGGGTGCTCTGTGTCTGCTGGCCATCTTGCCAGCTTTCACCTTGAGCCTGCCCAAGAATGACAGGGGAGAGGCAGGGAGTTGAGGGTACCGTGGGAGCACCTGGATCCAGCCTTGCCTGAAGCGGGATGTACCTGGTACTGCTCAGATCCGTGAGCAAGACTTTCCACATCTTTCTGCTGGCCTGAGATGGGTTTCTGCTGCCTGCCACCTGACCAGTGCAGCCCCCTCTCTCAGGAAGGCTGTCCTAGGCACGTTTACCTCTTCCAGGCGCTCCTTGAGCCCACAGGCACTGCGTGTGCCCCTCACTTATAGCCTCTCTGCCATGTACACACACTTGCCCTGCCCCATATTCACTGCATGCCCGTCTACACTACACTGTGGCTCCTGGAGGTCAAGGCCCCATGAACACTTGCCGGTGGGTCCCCAGGTACCTGAGATCGGCTGCCTCCTCGGCCATGAGCTGACCTTGCTTCTCCAGGGCTTCCTGCTTGGCCAGCAGCTGGACTCGCTCTTCAGACAAAGCCTCCTTCTCCTGCAGGGCCCTCTGGAGAGCGGCCATCTGGGCCTCCTGGTCCTGCAGGCGCTGGGCCAGCTGCTTCTCCAGGGCCTGCTTCTTGCATGTGACCTAGAGGAGGAGGAGGGGAAAGTCCAGCAGAGAGAGTGGGAGGGTTGCGAGGGGCCTCTAGAGGGAAAAGGAGGACTTCAGAAAAAGTGGTTTCCTTCAGAACAGCAATGGAGAAAAGAGTGGAGGAGGACCGTGGCCAGGAGACGTAGAGGACCCCTGGTGCACGTGTGTTTTCACAGCAGAGGGGCCTCCAGTCCTGAAACCATGATGGAGAAATTATTGGATTGAGCACCACCAGGTGGGATCCAGCTGTCAATCTAAACAGTAACCTTTGTTGGGCCACAAGTTTCCAGGGTTGGGAGACATTGCACAGAAATGCGAAGAAGGTGACAGAAGACCAGATTGTTGCAGACTAACACCTCCACCAAGAACATCACAAAAATCTGGACAAAATCTATCACAGGAGTCCGTATAGGGCCTCAGCTGAGGCTGAAGGAGCCAAAATCTCAGAGGAAAGGGAGGCAGAGGAGTGAGGCCACCACCCAGCATCTCTGCTCTCCTTGGAGCATGTGCTTGTTTAAGTCTGGACTGAGGAGCTGAGAAGCCCAGGGAGAGCTTCCAGCAGTCCGGTGTCTTTAGGAGTATAAGAACGTGAGCTTACAGACCTCAGAGCAGAGGGTCCTGATAAACATCCTAGGTTTCCAGTTGTAATCATAGGAGGGCTTCATCCTCATAGTGGTGGTGAAGCGGAATAGACACTCCCCCCAAACCTGGCTTCCCTGGTGGCTCAGGATGGTAAAGAATCTGCCTGCAATGCAGGAGACCTGGGTTCCATCCCTAGGTTGGGAAAGTCCCCTGGAGAAGGGAACGATTACCCACTCCAGTATCCTTGCCTGGAGAATCCCATGGACAGAGGGGCCTGGCGGGCTGCAATCCATAGGGTTGCAAACAGTCAGACAAGACCGAGCCACTAACACTTTCACTCTTCTAACTTTCCAAAACATGAAGATCGGGTTTCAATCATCTCAGTCATGGATTAAAGTGATCTACCCCCACTGCCTGCCAGAACCAAAAGTGATTCCTCCCTAGAAGAACAGCATCATCGAGATCCTCAAATTATTTCTACATTTTTTTATATTTAATACTTGGCTTTTATTCAACACAACCAGGCATGTTAGAGGTAGAATCACATGGCAAAAAACCACACGTAAGAACATAAAATAGACACACATGCCTCCCTGCCCATCTGGCTATCCGGATATTGAAGTTATCAAACACAGACTTTAAAAGAGCTGTGATTAATATGTTCAAGAAGATGGATGGCAAAATGTAGAGTTTCACAATAGAACTGGATGCTTAACGGAATAAGAACAGCTACATGATCATCTTAATAGAGTCAGGGAACACATTTAATGGAATTCAAAGCCCATTCATAATTAAAAAAAAAATCTCAGCATGCTAGGAATAAAAGATAACTTCCTCAATCAGATAAGAGGCATCTATGAAAAACCTCTAGATCGCATCATACTTGACAGTGAAATTCTTTCCCCGCAGTTGGGTTTGGTATTAACAGAAAGATGGCCACTTTCACTATTTTCAAATTTGTTCTGTGGGTCTTTAGCCAGTGAATTAAGAGGAGATGAAAGTCACTGAGATCAGAAAGGAAGTAAAACCATTGTTATTAACAGATAACATGATAATGTACATGTAAAATCCTGGTGCTTATCAGTCTATTTGTCAGGGTTGCACGATCAAAATTTAATATATGAGATTATATTTCTACATACTAGTAATGGACATAGGTAAATGAAATTGTAACAGCAAGGCATAATATCAAATCCAAGAATTAATTTAATCAAAGATGTGTAAAGCCTCTACACTGAAAACTACAAAACACAACTGAGAGGAATTAAGTAAAGAAACCAGCGGAGAGATATACCATGTTCACGGATAGACAGCTGGATACAGTTAAGACGTCCGTTCTTCTCAAACTGATCTATAAATTCAACAAAATCCCAGTCAAGTTTCTACCAGGTTTTTTTGGGGTGTGCAAATTGACAAATCTGATTCTAAAGTGTAAATAACCAAACAATCTTGAAGGATTAGATGGGAATACTCAACATTACTTCATTACAAGATATTAGAAAGCTACAGTAATGAAGACAGTGCAATTTCGGTGGAAGGATGAACAAATAGATCAATTTGCACAGATCACAATATGATCTGGGCACATACATGCACATGTAGGCTCAATTTATTGTTGCCAAGATCATCCCAGAAGGAAAGGAAAGTCTTTTAAAAATTGGTTCTGAAACAACTGGATATTAATGTGAACAATAGTCGACCCCAGTTCCTATTCCATACCACACACCCACAGTTTTCACACCTTCGTGTGTGTCAGACTCACTAGGAGGGATGATTAAAATCCAGATATTTGGCCCCATCCATAGAGTTTCAGATTCAGTAGGTTTCAGGAGGGCAGCTGAGAATCTGCATTTTAATCAAGTTCTCAAGTGAGACTGATGCTGCTGGCCTGGGGAACACACTGTGAGAACCTCTGCTCTACAGAAAAGTCAGCTTTAAGTGGATCACAGACCTAAGGACTGGAGGAAAACACATTGGGATACTGTCTTGTCCTCAGGCTGGGCAAAAATTTCTCAGACAACACGTAGAAAATACTAACCATAAAATTTTTTTTTAAATTTGCTAAACTGAATTTTGCCAAAGTTAAACTTCTCTGTCCATCAAAAATGCTGGCAACAAAATGTACACACAAATCACACAAACGTGAGAACATCTGTCTGACAAAGTGTTTGTACCCAAGATATGTGAACTAGAAACCCGTAACCAAAATGGGAAAACCCAATAAAAGTAGACAGTAGGCCTGAACAGACACTCGGCAAGTTAAGGTATACAAATATTTGATAATCATACGAAAATGTGCTTAATGCCTTTTACTATCAGAAAATGGCCAATAAAACCACAAAGGCACATAACTCCACACACAGAGAGTAGCAAGACGGATGATGCCAAGTGTTGACCAGGCCGAGCAGCAGCCAGCCTCCCACACTGCTGGCCAGTGAAGTAATACAACCACTGGGGAAAACTGCTGGGCAGTTTCTTATAATGTTCAAGAACATCTACCCAGTGACTCCACAGTTCACTCTTAGGTATTTACTCAAGAGAAATGAGAATGTCTGTATGAGATTTCTACATGTATGCTTGTAGCAGTCTTGTCCACCTTCAAATTGGAAGCAACCTAAAAATCCAGCAGTGGGTAAATGGGTAAAAAGATGTAATTTATCCATATGACGGGATAGTACTATGCTGTCAAAAGCAGGAGCTTTTGACACCCCTTTTTTGGGCTCCAAAATCACTGCAGATGGTGATTGCAGCCATGAAATGAAAAGATGCTTACTCATTGGAAGGAAAGTTATGACCAACCTAGACGGCATATTAAAAAGCAGAGACATTACTTTGCCAACAAAGGTTCGTCTAGTCAAGGCTATGGTTTTTCCAGTGGTCATGTATGGATGTGAGAGTTGGACTGTGAAGAAAGCTGAGCACTGAAGAAATGATGCTTTTGAACTGTGGTGTTGGAGAAGACTCTTGAGAGTCCCTTGGACTGCAAGGAGATCCATTCAGTCCATCCTAAGGGAGATCAGTCCTGGGTGTTCATTGGAAGGACTGATGCTGAAGCTGAAACTCTAATACTTTGGCCACCGCATGTTGACTCATTGGAAAAGACTGTGATGCTGGGAGGGATTGGGGGCAGGAGGAGAAGGGGACGACAGAGGATGAGATGGCTGGATGGCATCTCCGACTCGATGGGCATGAGTTTGAGTAAACTCTGGGAGTTGGTGATGGACAGGGAGGCCTGGCGTGCTGCGATTCATGGGGTCACAAAGAGTCGGACACAACTGAGCGACTGATCTGAACTGAACTGAACTGAACCACAGAGATGACTCTCAAAGATGTCATGCTGAGGGTGAGAAGCTGGACTCCAAAGTGTCTGCACCCCATTACTCGCTATGCGACAACATCTAAAGCTGGTGAAGCCAGTCCACGGTGGCCCAGGTCAGGGCAGAGGATGCCTGGGTGGCAGTGCCACGGGGGAGCCCGCTGGGCTGGTGCAGACACTCTGCATCCTGACCACGCTGGTGTCACCACCAGGGCTCACCACTGTCAGCACCCACTGAGCTGTGTGCTGGCTTTACTGAATGTAACAATGCGTCACCCAAAACAGAGGGAAAGGACAGGACAGAGTCTGAGAAACAGGAAGAGGTGGGCCTGAGCCCCGAAGGTGACAGGCCATGAAGTCTGAGCACCACTGGGGGTCCAAGGCTCTGCAGGGACCGGTTTCCACGTGGGCCACCATGGCTGGAGTCAGGAGAAAGCAAACGTGCCGCAGTGTCTTGTGCTACGGAGTCTGACCTCCTCCATGGGAGATCCACGTCGGCAGATTTGGGAATGGATGCAGGGATGCGGCTGTGAGCGTGTGACTGGGCAGCTCTGTTGTGTGGATGTGGTCCAGGAAGAAGACAGACAAGATGACAGAAGGGCAGGGGAGCATTTCCCTTGAGTGTCTGAGTATCGCTGGGCCCGAGGCCTTCGACCCTCTGACCAGGGGGGACCCAGCCCCTGGATGCTGGGGACAGGCGCGATGTAGACGTCCTTTTAGCGTGCCGCTCCCCCATCCCCTACCTCCCACACCGGAAAGCTGGCTTCAAATCAGCCAAGTCGGGCAGCCTGAGCTTAGAAAGTGCCGGTGCTGACGTCCGAGGGCCAGTGTGGCTTCTGTATCTGTGCGTGCCCGCCCACCCCAGAGGCAGGGGCGGCCCTATCAGATGTGGCTGGGGACTGGGAGCCCCACTACCCCCTCACCTGGCCCACCTGAGCCTGCAACTGGGCCCGTTCTCGCTGGAGTCGGGCCGCCTGACCCTCCAGCCGCTCCAGCCGCTCCTCCAGCCGCCCGCAGGCCCGCTGCAGGCCCCTCCTTTCAGCCCGCAGGAGCTCCACCTGCCACTCGGCCTGCGCCAGCTGCTCCCGGGCGCCGGCCTGCCCCTGGGCCAGCATCTGCTGCTGCGCCCGCAGCTCGTCCCGCTCCTGCTCCAGCTGCCAGAGAAGGGGGGACAGGGCGTGGTCCGTGTGCAGACCCAAGCCCCATGCACCCTCGCCCCCAAGTCCAGGAGTGGAGACGGCGGGGAGGAGGATGAACAAAGGGGGAGCCCTGAGCTCGGGGGGCCGGGGCTGCACCGGGGCCCACAGCTGCTCTGGGGAAGCAGGACTTGGGGGAGGTCCGACCCCCTGGGCCCTCGTCTCACCTGCAGGACCAGGTGGTTCAGGGAGCCTTTGTCCTGAGCCAGCGCCTCCGTCACAGCGGCCATCTTGGCCAGGGAGCCCCTCTGCTCCACCCCCTCTGCCTTGAGCCGGCTCACGAGCAGCTCCAGGTCAGCTTTGCTGGCCTCGGCCTAGGGTGGGGAGGGCAGAGGTCACCCAGCAGGGAAGCTGGGACGGCTTCTAGATTCGGGGGAGCCACGACGGGGTGGGGAGTGAGCCGTGCGTCACGGAGGTGTGCAAGCTGGAGCTCCGGGGGGGGGCCTGGAAGCGGTCCCCCAGTGGCGAGGCCCCGGGGGTGGACGGTGGCCCCTGGGTCCAAGGCTGCAGCCAGGGCAGGCGAGCGGGCGCCTGAGGGAGGGGCCCTGAGCGCCTCTGTGGCTGGCGCTCGGGGGGACGGGCCAGGGCACATTGGTCGGGGACTGAGGAGGCCACTCCGAGGCTGGGACCAGGGGACACCCCTGAGCTTGGGGCCGGGGGATGGGCTGCAAGCCCAGGCCGGCGAGGAGAGGGGCGAGGGGGGCGGCCGGGGGCGCACCCGGGCCAGGGCGCCGTGCAGACCCGCCCTCTCACTCTCCAGGATGTCCCTCTGCAGCTGTGCTGAGTCCAGCGCCTCCTGGGCCGACACCAGCTCCGTCTTGAGCCCCGAGACGGTCCCCTCCAGCTGCTCCAGGCGCCCTTGACTGAGACCCAGAAACAGAGGGCAGAGGGCATGAGGCCGCCTCAGGATGAGAGCCGGGCCACTTGTGGGGCCCGCAGTCAGGGTGACTGCCCGCGGTTGCCCCCAAAGGTGCGGGGCCCAGAGGAGCACGGGTCCCCTGCAGGCCCGGAGTCACTGCCCAGCTGGGCGTGGGTGTGTCTGCTCGGACCTGGGCGACAGCCTGGGCCAGCAGAGGGCACCCATGCTGCGGCCCACCCCGGTGGGGCCCGGGTATCGGGGTGGGTTTGCCCAGGGTTGGGGGGCTGGCACTGGGCTGGACTTGGGGTGGGCGTGTGAGTGGTGGTGGGTGGTGGTCAGTGTGAGAGGGGCCTGCGGTCTCACTAGCACCCCCTGACGAGGCTGGTGAAGATGTAGTCCCGGGGCGGCAGGGCACTCGGGGCCCGGGGGCCAGGATGCCCGCTGGAGGCCGGGTGGCCCACCTGCTCTCCAGCGCCTTTCGGCTGCGCTCGCCCTGCTGCTCCAGCACCTCCTTCTGCTCCGCACACCTCTGGAGGCTCCTCTGCAGCTCCATGTTCCTGGCCTCCAGGCTTTGCTTCTCAGCATGGGACACAGCTGCCTCCCCCCTCAGCGCCTCAACCGCCTCCTCGAGAGCCGCCTTCTCTCTGGAAGCAGGCGAGGCTGAGGCTGGGGGTCCTGGGCACGTTCATGCCTCTGCCCAGCGCCTGGGGGGCAAACAGGGCAAGGGGGCCGCGGAGGCCACTAGGGGCCGGGCTCAGGGACACGTGCGGACCACCCCCAGCTGGTCTGTCCAGGCAGGGTGGCTCCTGGGTGGGGGGCCTTGCGTGAGCCTGTAAACCCCAGAGGGCCTGACCCCGGGGCATCCCTACGCTCGGGCCTCTGCACCCGTGGGCTAAGCTCAGACAGTCCTGCGAGACCCTGTGGGAAGGTGGGGACCCCGGCCTGCCAGGGGCCCCCACATCTCCTGGCTGGCCCCAGAGACCTGCACCGTCGTCAGAGCTGAGCATGCCGCTGACCCACACCCGACCCCGAGGTCCCCTCTGCAGGTCACCTGCCAGCCAGGACTGGATCTCAGCTGCTCCCCACCTGGCCAGGCCCCGAAGCACCAAGTCCTGGGGCCCCACTTCCCAAATGCCTCCTGACTCAGCCTCTCATCCCCCTGTGTCACGGGGCCACTGGGCCTGTCACCCCCAGTCCCCAGGACGCTGTGGTCTAGCCACTTGTGGGAAGGCGGTGTCCCTGAGAACAGCCCCCCATGGCCCTCGCCCCAGTGACTGCTGCGCCTCAGCAGGCTGAGGTGGCCCCGCCTGCCCAACCCACACCCCGCCTCTGCCTGTAGCCCCTACCGGAAGTCCCTCCTGAGACCTCACGGGCTCCCCCATTCCTGCCAGGCCGAACCTGCCCACTCCCGTCTCTGCCCACCGCCTGTGTGCCTCTTGAGAGCAGGACTGGGTCTAATCTTCCCTTGGACCTCCTGTCCCAGCACTGAGTGCGCTGTCAGGCCCTCTGGAGAAGGGGTAGCCCCGAGGGGCCTGCAGGCCCGACCCCTGGGTGAGTGAGCGGAAGCATGGGAGGCTGTCGGTCCACTCCTCACGGCGCCCTCCTGCAGGAAGCCTTCCTGGGCTGCCGGCACGCTCCTGCCCCACGCTCTGGCTCAGGCAGCGTGTGGGTCTGGGAAGCCCTAGACTACAGATGCTGGGGATTCTCTTCCCGCCCCGGGGGCAGTCAGACGTGCACAGAAGCATCCAGACAGCCTCCTGGCCAAGTGCACCAGGGGACGCCAGACCCACGGGACATGCCAGGAGGGCGGGCAGGGAACTGGGGGTCTGTGGACCACCTGCAAGGGATGGCCCAGACCCCTAGAGGACTCTCAGCAGTGGGAATGGGGCAGCGGGGCCAGAATACAGCCTGGTCCCAGGAGGGGTGTCTGGGAGGCAGGGCTGAGGGGCCGGGCTCGCGCTCAGCCTGGGCTTTGGGAAGGTGAGTCCTGGCCACGGCCCAGATGGGCCCGAGCGGGAGGAGGGGTGCTCAGTGCAGGCAGCGCTTGGCGGCAAAGAGGGGAGGGAGGCAGCTTTCATCTGGAGGTTTTCACTTCTGCTCCTGGAGGGCCTCGTGGAGGAGGTGGCCCTGCCCACTGGCCTCACCTCCCCAGGAACTTCTCCTGGAGGGCCTCATGGAGGAGGTGTCCCTGCCTGCTGGCCTCACCTCCCCAGGAGGTCTTTCTCCTGGAGGGCCTCATGGAGGAGGTGGCCCTGCCTGCTGGCCTCACCTCCCCAGCAGCTCTTTCTCCTGGAGGGCCTCATGGAGGAGGTGGCCCTGCCCACTGGCCTCACCTCCCCAGGAACTTCTCCTGGAGGGCCTCGTGGAGGAGGTGGCCCTGCCTGCTGGCCTCACCTCCCCAGGAGCTCTTTCTCCTGGAGGGCCTCATGGAGGAGGTGGCCCTGCCCACTGGTCTCACCTCCCCAGGAGCTCGCTGGTCACACGGCTCCATTGCGCCTCCCGGCTCTGTGCCTCCAGCTTGCCCAGGAGGTCCTGGCGCTCCTCCTGCAGGAGGCTTCTTGAGGCCTGCAGCTCCCTCTGGCTCTCAGACAGCTGCTCCTGGAGCCCCGCGGCCCTCACCTTGGCCGACTCCAGCTGCTGGTGCAGCTCCTGCCCGATAGTAGAGGTGCAGTGAACCCCTGTGGCAGGGCCAGGCCTCTGAACACAGAAGCCAGCCAGGGCCCTGGACTCCCAGAGAAAGGACGCAGTTCTGACCAGAGACCCACCCGAAGTGCAGGGCCAGGCACCTGGGGGGGTCAGCCTCCTGGGGGTCAGCCCCCTGTGGGGTCAGCCTCCTGGGGTCAGCCTCGTGGGGTCAGCCTCCTGAGGGTCATGGGCAGGCCCATAGAGGCCCTTCTCAGCCTGGCAGTCTCTGTGCCCACCTGCTCCCTCTGCCGCCGCCTCTGAATAGCCGCCCGCACGGCCCACAGTGCTGAGTCCAGGGTGACCGGGGAGCGGGCTGGGGGCAAGGACTCAGCCGTCAGGGGGGACCCAGCATGAGGGGGGCTCCTCCGTTGGCCCTGCACTCCCTCGCCTTCAGCACCGCTGCTCTTCACCAGCTCCTCGCTCCCCGCATCTGCCTGGGCCACCTTCAGGGAGCAGAGAGGACAGAGCCCAGAGCTCAGGTCACACGGGTCCTTCCAGACCATTTCCCAGGCCAGCCTGAACCGCAGGGGCCCTGCGGCCCATCGGCTGCCCGTGTGGGAAGGACCCAGCCGGGCCTGCACCTGTGTGATGCTGTCCAAGAGGAGCCGCAGGGTCTCCACCTCCGCTCTCGAGTCCCCTGGGGCTGCCGGGCCTCCGCTACTGTGCTGGGACTCCTGGGGGGACGGGGGTGGGGGGCTGCTCAGCGAGGCCCAGGCCCCGACTGCCAGCCGCCCCCTCCCAGCCGCGCACCAGTCTCTGCACGTCGGTTCTCAGGGAAGAGATGGCTCTCTCGCTCGCGTTTTGCTCGGTGAGCTTCTCTACCAGCAGCGTCTGCTCTGAGAGTCTGGGGACAGCGGGGTGGGGCAGGGCTGTCTGTGCCAAGATCAGAGCCCAGGGCCCTGTCGGACCTGGGAGCCCGGCTCTGTCTAACTCCTCCGTGGTGCGTGCGGCCTGCCTGCGGCTGTCGGCCGCCTCTGACCCCCCACTGTGGTCAGATGCCCTTCTCCTGCTCTAGAAACTTCAGCGGCTCCCATTGCCTCAGGGGTCAGCGCAGCCCCCGAGTTCAGCATTGAGCTCCCACCGTGACCCAGACTCAGCTCGCCAGCCCTGCAGCGAGGCTTCCTCAGCGCAACCTGACCTGCTCGCGCCCTGCCCCTCCCTGTGACTGGGTTGCCTCTGACGGTTTATTGTCTTTTCTTCCCAGGAACCAGCCTCTTCTCTGGCCCCGGGCCTCCCTTGGGACTCCCTAGACCCAGAGCCGTGGGCGCCCACGCACCTGGCCTGGAGCGCCGCCTCCTCCGCGGCCGAGCGGCCCTGCAGCTGCAGCGTCTCCCGCGCCTTGTCCCGCAGCTGCTGCTCCAGGGCAGCAGCCGCGCTGCCGGCCATCAGCCGCAGGTTGGAGCCGAGGTTCAGGCAGGCCATGTGCAGGCGCCGGGCCATCCTGGCCACGTCCGCCCGCAGGTCAGCGAGGCCCCTGCGAGACCAGGCGCACCCAGCTGAGCCTCGGGGGTGTCTGTGGGCTCAGCCTGGGGGCTGCACGCCGGCTGGGCCAGGCGGGGTCTGGTCTCAGGCCAGAGGTCTGCCCACCTCAGGAGAGGACCCACAGGTGGCATCACAGCCGGGCAGGGGTGGGCGGGGCTGGGCCAGGACGCATAGGACGGGCTGTCCGCCTGGACCGGTATGTGGACCGTCTGAGCCTCAAGGGCCCAGGACAGCCGGGCTGAGGTGCCTGGCCAGGCCCCAGAGCTCCGTCCAAGTCAGTCCGCTGCTGCTGATGGGGGCTCCCTGCCTGACCCACTCTGTGCGTTTGGCCACCTCCCCCAGGGCGCCCTGTCCCCCTCGGGCCCGTGGGTGGGCACGCACCTCTCGGTGGCTGCACGCAGCTCGGCCAGGTGTCCCCGGAGCGCAGTGACCTGCCTCTGCAGGAGGGCGTCCTGGGGCCGTCCCGAGTGGGTGTGCCTGGCCTGCAGGCAAGAGGCGGAGGCCAGGCTGAGGGGTGGGGGGGGCCTGCGACCCCATTCACCCCCATACTGCCCCTCCAGCACCAGAGGTGGGGGTGCAGACCTCGTCATCAGCCTCTGTGGCCCCTTCTCCTCCCCAACAATCAGACTGCCCCCTACCTGGGGCAGAGCTTGGCTCCCCTCCCAGAGGCTGTGGGGGTGAGCGCCCCCAGCTCCAGAACCAGGACCCCCTCAGCCTGGTCCCCATGGGGGTGAAGGCGGCACTCAGCTGGGGTGGGGAGGTGGGAATGGGGTTGGGGCATGGGGTGTGGGCAGCGGGGGTGGGGAGGTGGTGTGGGGTGAGTGTGGGAATGGGGTGTGGGTGGTGGGTGTGGAGCGTGGCGTGGGGGTGTGGGATGTGGGCTGCGGGGGTGGGGAGGTGGGGTGGGGTATTGGGGGTGGGGGTAGGGGGTGGGGTGGAGTGGGGGTAGGGGGTGGGGTGGGGCGTTGCGAGTTGGGAGGTGGGGTGTGGGCGAGAGTTGAGGCAGCAGGATGCAGACCCGCTTGGGCAGCGAGGCCAGCCTTGCAGGGAACTACGCTGAAGCCCAGAGCCAGAGCCCCAGCCTCGGCGCTGCTTCCGCAGGCCCCGCCCGGCGGCCGGGCTGAGCTCAGAGCCGGGCTCTGCGGGCCCCCACCAGCCCCTCCACCTGCTGGAGCCCCAGCGCTCGTCACTGTTGCTTCAGACCAAGTGCTCTCACCGAAGGCCCTCTGGCTGCAGACCTGCGCTCCCACCTCCACGAGCCCTTTGCTGAGCCCTCTCCCCAACCCCCACCTGACCCCCCACGAGCCCAAAAGCCCCTGCGGTGCACCACCTCCGGGAGCGCCCCTGGTCCTGGCCCCGAGCCTTGTGTCCACGCCCCCTGCCCACTGCGGTCATCAGGAGTCCCGGTGACACAGAGGGGTGGACACCCAGCCCCGCCTGCCCGACACCGACGGGAATACAGGACACGCCAGACTCCACAGTGTCTGGACACGAGGCTGGGTGGCCGGGGCGGTAAGGCACACGCAGGCCAGGGACGGGTAAGCTTCCTGACTCGAGAGTGACTTGGCAAACAGCAGCTTGAACTTGTTTCTTTGACCACAGGGGCTCCGAGGACAGAGGGGAAAGCCTGGGCCCACCCAAGGGAGAGTCTACTCACCTATAGCAGTGACCCCCCAAGCTGCACTCCAAGCAAGGTGTGCTAGAGGCAGGCAGACCTGCACACACGCGCACACACACACACACACACCTGCCTGCAGGGGCGGTAAGGAGGTGCAATGCATGGTGAACCAGCACACACATGCACACACACATGTACACACACACACACACGCACATGCACACAGCTGCCTGTAGGCACTGTAAGGACGTGCAGTGGATGGTGAACCAGCACACACATGCACACACACATGTACACACACACACACACCTGCCTGCAGGGGCGGTAAGGAGGTGCAATGGATGGTGAACCAGCACACACATGCACACACATGCACATGCACACACGCGCGCACACACACTGTCGGAGGGGCAGTGTCCCCCGCAATTCACATGTTGAAACCTAATCACCCACGTGAGAGTATCTGGAGGTGGGGTTTTTCAGCTCCACTGCTATCAAGGGTGTTACTGCCCTTACAAAAGGGGCCCCACGAGCTCTCCCTCCCTTCTGCCTTTTGAGCGGATAGCCAGAAGGTGTCATCTGTGATTAGACAGCGGTCCTCATTCTCACCAGCCACTGAAGGGGCTGGCACCTTGATCTTAAGCTTCCAGCCTCTAGAGCTGTGGGAAATGTTTGTTTATAAGCCCGGGGCTGGGGTATTTCTGCTCCAGCAGCCTGGAGGGACCAGGACGGGAAGGAAAAATCTTGGAGATTTGGATTTGGAAAGATGAGTTAGCCTTGGTGCAGTTTTCAGCCTAGATTCACAAAACCTGGGTGGTTTGAAAAAACAGTAAGTTAAAGCTGAAAATTTACTTCCATGTGGCCCCAAACATTATCAGAGTCCCTAGAATCTGCAAATGAAAGCAATGAAATGAAAGAAGCAAATGAAAATCTTTTTTGGAATGTACCATGTTCATTCTAGGTTTCAAAGAATTCTCAGACTTCCAAGGATACTACACGGCTCTTAACTGAAGAAATCAGAAAACCACCAAAGACACATAGACACCCAGCACCGTGGTCAGAACCAGCAGAAACAATGAACTCAGACCTTGAAGGAGTTCGGATATTAGAACATCAGAAACAGGCTACAAAATGATTGCTTTCTAGCATGCATCAACAAACACAACAGAGGCTTGAAAATACAAGACTAAGATATGCAGAAAACAGAATAAAAGTCAGAACTTTTAAAGATGAAAAATACAGAATTAGAAGTTAAGCGAAACAGGCAGGTTTAACAGAGATTGGATACCAGGGGAGAAAACTGATGAGCGGCAGGGTGGACTTGAAAAAAATTACCCACAACATAGACCAGGGCGGTAAGGAGGGGAGGTTAAGAGCATAGGAGGGAGCCTAGAAAGGGTGGGGCGGGGGGGGGGAGGTGGGACTCGGGCCACTGTGGAAGACAGAACAGAGGCTTCCCCAAACGAGGAGAGAAGGAACCCTGATGAGTGGAAGCAGAATAAACAGAAATCTGCAGTCGGCGGTCACAGGAAGTCACAGCAGAGAATCCCCAGTGGCCAGAGTGCGATGCCCGCCAGAGGAGTCAGGGGTTGGCGGGTGTTGGCAGGCTGGAAGCCAGGAGACAAGCCAGGACGTCGCTAAGGTGCTGAGAAAAACAGCTGCCAGCAAGTAGGAGTGGCGTTCAAGGCCAAGGGGGAGTAAAGAGCCCTGATCTGCTGGTGCCAGATTGGACCCAAGGTCCGCCTCCGGGGTGCCTGTTCTGCTGTCCAACTGAGGCTGGGGGTGAGGTGTCCACCCCGTCTCACTGGCCCCGCAGCAGCCCAGTGCCCTGTGAGGACTGATCTGATCGGAAAGGCCGTGCCTTCTCCCCACGCCCGTCTGACACCCTCCTGTCCCGGGACAGCTGTCTGGCAGGAGGGGTCATGTCTACACAGTGGGGGCGGCCTCTGCTCCACCAGGTCCATGTGGAAAGAGCCAGGATGGCCCCTCTACGGTGGGCTTGTCTGAGGGACCCCTGCGCAGTGTCGGTCTGAGGCCGGGGCCCCGGGGACCGCCTTGGCCTCTGCCCCACTGCCGGGGAGAAATCCTGCCCTGGAGGCTGCTGGCAGGCGCTGGGGGGGGGTCCTGGGGGCATCCAGGGCAGATCAGGGGAGGCGCGGCCAGGCATAGGCGCGGCTGACTGTCTCAAGTCCTGCCCTACTCCACGCTGCGTGTCCTGAAGCTGGCGACCACCCAACATGGTCCACACGGCATCGCTGCTGCAGCGAGGCTGAGGCCGGAGCCCCGTGCTCAGACCCCACCCAGGACTGAGGATTTTGGAAGAGGCCGCGGGTCCCCTGCTGGCCCGGAGTCCAGCTCGCAGAGACTCCTCCCTCCAGCACAGGGCGGCCACGCCGGGGCCAGGGCTCAGCCTCACCTGACTTCCCAGCCCGGCCATCGGCTCCTTCTCTCAAAGTGGGGGCTTTCCACCTGGTGAGCCCCACTCCACAGACAGCTGTGACCAGGCCGAGCAGGGGGCCGTGGTGTGGCTGGGGGCGGCCACCAGCTCACCCCTTCCCGGTCCTCACTGCCCACCCCCGCCCCAGCTGCGGGCACCGAGCCGGGCGTCCCCCTGCCCATGAGCGGGAGCCGGGGAGCACCTCTCTGTGGGTCCGGTGCTGTGCCTCCCGCAGCTCCAGCTCGGCCCGCAGACGGAGCATGCTGCCCGTCGTCCTGGCCAGCTCCTCGGCCAGCCTGTCATTGGCCTTCCGCATGTGCTCCAGCTGTTCCCGCAGGAGGGCGTTCACCTGGGAGAGGCCGGTGCTCCTGGACGGGCAGGGACGCGGCAGCGTGATCGTAGGAAGGTGGCCTCCCCTACAGACATTCTCAGATCCTCAGGCCCCAGACCTCCTGGGCTCAGACGACCCCAGCTCGACTGTGCAGCCCCACCGCTCCTAAGTGGCGCTGACCGCCTGCAGAGGATCCCCCTCTGGCACCCCGCTCCTCCCGACATATCTGTTGTCCCCTCCTCCCCGCCTTGAGCTCCCTGGCTCGGCCCTCACGACTACGGCTGGCTGTTCACTGCAGGCTGTGGAGGTGAGCCTCCAGGGCAGCAAGCGGGTCAGGGCTCCGGAGCCCCAGCCGAGGGGACCAGGGCTGGGAGGGAGGCGTGTCCCTGTTGCGGGGTGGGCTGGGGGAGAGGGGCCAGGCGTGCCCCAGGGAAGGGGCAGCCCCTCTGTGACTGTGGGCCTCTCTGCCCGCAAGGCAGGCCTGTGTGTGGCTGCAGTCGGGGACCCCAAACCCTGCAGAGCCCATACTTCCTGGCCAGGCTGCGAGGCCACAGGGATTTCTCTGCTCCTCTCTGCTCTGGGGGCATCAGCCTCCTGGAGGTTTGTTTCCTGCAGCCCCTGCCCCTACCCCCTGCTTCTCCAAAACTGGTTTTCAAGATGCTTCTCAACACTGATCCTTTGCCAGTGTCCCTGAGGAGGAAGCAAGTCCGGGAAGCATGCCATAGACGGCTTAACCTTCCCGGGTCTGCGACAGAGCCGCCTTGGGGGCCCCGCCCTGCCTGCTTCCCTCGCCACGGACCTTGGTGAGATGCTCTTCCCTCCAGGGGCATGTCCTGGGGCTTGGGGCTCCCTCTGGGGGGCTGGGGGTGACATACAATTACCCACAGTGCGCAAATGAGCCCGGTCATGACCGCAGAGCGGCTTGAAGCCAGAGGGGCCTGGGGGTCAGGATTGGAGTGGGAAGAGGAGTGGGATTGGGGGGGAACCCAGAGACACCCCAGGACTGGCCAGGCCAACCAAGGCCCGACCTGCCCGTAGCATGGGCCACAGCCCCGGCCCCAGCTGTGGCGGGGCGGGGGGGGGATGGTGCTGGGGTGGCACAGCAGGGAGCAGACTGAGGCCCAGGGGTGTGGCCCCCGCCCCGCCCTGCCCTGCACCCCCTGGCTCTGACTCCGAGTCACTCTGGAGGAGTCGCCAACAGCCCAGGCCACCTGCCCTGCCCGCGGCTCCCTGCAGCCCTGCCGTCCACGCCCGCCCGGCCTCACCTCTGCTCGGCCGCCTCCAGACGGCCCAGGGCCTCCTCCAGGTCCACGCTGCGCTCCAGCTCCGACCTCTGCAGCTGGGCCTTGGTGGCCTCCAGCCGGGCCTGCAGCTGGAGAGGGCGGTGACCCACCTGGCCGGCTGCTTCCCAGCCCTGCAGGCCGGGCGGCTCAGGCACAGTGCCCTCTCTGGGATGGCTGGGAGGGCTCTGGGGGTTCCCAGCTGGGGTGGGGTTCAGGCTGAGATCAGGGGTGCTGTTGACTGGGGTCTGGTCAGAGGGGTCAGGATGGTGGCCATCCCCACGCCGGCCCCGCGCCTCGTGCCGCAGCCAGCGGAGGAGGCCCCGCATCAGGCCAGGCGAAGGGACATGGAGCTGGACTGTGGTCACCTGCATGGCAGTGAGTGTGCGTGGGGTCCCACCCTGCCCTTCTGCCTGTGCTTGAACCTCTGTCTGCCCCCAGCCCCTCATCCAGCAGGGGGCGAGGCCACCCCACAGTAGGTGGGCCTGCAGCCCCCAGGTGGGTCTGGTGGTAGGGAAGCCCCCGGAACTGGCCCAGACCATTGTTGAGTCTGCAGGGCTGAGTGGATGGGAACCTCGCTCTGAGGGAAAGGGGTCACTGGGGGCCGGGGCCGCCACCCAGATCTGCACCCAGAGCACATTCTGGGGTCCGAGGAGGGGCTGCAACAGGCCCAGGGGGACAGCTGGCGGGGGCTGAGACAGGAAGACCAGGAGAACCGAGGGCTCACCTGTGGCGGGGCCTGGGGCCAAGGAGGCGGGTGGGGGAGGTGGGGAGGACGGGGCTCCCCTGAGGCCTTTGGTGGGGGTAGGGGGGCGCTGGGATGGGGCTGGGGGACCCGGCGAGGAAGGAGACAGACACCCACAGAGCAATCACGCCCACCCCCACACCGCCCCACCCGTCTCCTTGGGGGCACTCAGGGAGACCAGACTCCTCTGTGGTCCGTATGTACGCAGGGGGCCGAGGCCCGCGGGGGGGGGGGGGGGGGCGGGCGTGGCCTGGAGCCAGGATCTCACTGACTCACTCGGTTTCCTAATCTGGCTGCAGGGCTTCTGCGGCTTTTATTCCCACCGGCCTCTTGTTCCCAACATCTCCCCACCCTGTGCTAGGAAGACGCCCCCACCCCCAGCTCCGAGCCGGCCCGGGAGGGGGAGGGTGGCGAGCTCACCCAGTGCTCCCGGCCCGCCGGTCCTGCCAGAGGAGTTCCCGGGGAGGGGGGGCCTAGGGGTGAGGACGGGGGTCGGGGGGCCTCTTGTGGGGCTGGGGGGTGAGGATGGGGTTGGGGGGCCCCTTCGTGGGGCTGGGATTGAGGACAGGGGTCCTGGGGACCCTTCGTGGGGCTGGGCATGCCACTGACCCCAGGAAGCCATCAGGACCCGGGAGGAGACATGGCCGGCTGGGGATTTCAGCCTCAGTCACCAACCACACCAGAGAAAGGGCCGGACTGGGTCAGGTCTCAGCCTGCAGCGAGGCCCTGCACGGCTGGGACCTGCCGTGAGCCTGTTCCTTCATCTGGGGTCGTCTGTCCCGCTGCATGGAGTGGGGGGCTGTGCAGACCCAGGTGCTCTGAGCACCCCCACTGTGGGCCAGGCACCCTGCCCCGTCCTGCTCCGAGGCCGTCACGACGGGGCGGTGGACACGAGACAGAGGCCCTGCCCGGTGACTTCCGTCTCCTCCCCACCTCGGGTTCCCCGCCCGCACACTGGGAGGCCCTCCTGGCCCCACAGCTTGGGCACCACTGGCCTATGGCTGCAGCTGGTCACCCTGGCAGGGCCTGTGGCCGCTGGGGCACTGAGGGTGTGCCCAGGGCCTGTCTGTCCACCTCGGCTGTTAGGGGTGAGACCGGGGTGCAGTAGGTCCTTCCAGTCTGCCCGCCTCCCCTTGGCAGGTGTGTCCACGTGCTCGCGCTGGGCAGGGCGCTGGCCCCACAGGTCGGGACTGTCCTGGCCCCCCCCCCCGGGGCTCTGGGCAGGTGGGCACAAGTCATTGCTTAAGCTGGGTCAGGACCCCTGGGCACCGTCCTACCTCACCTGCCTGCTCCAGCCTGTTTCTCTCTCTGCAGCACAGGGTTCGGCCATGGCCGGCCACTGTCGTCCCCCTGCTGGCGGGCCCGTGGGTCACCCCAGGGCAGGCTGCCAGGCGCCCTGAGCACTCACCCGTTTGCTGACTACGTGGTACCTGCCAGCCAGCTCATCCTGCTCGGCGCCTGCCTGGGCCAGCAGGCCCTCCAGCCGGGACAGCTCATCCTGCAGGGGCGCGTGCTCTTCCGGCCCAGGGCCCGGGGCGGCCGGGGGCTCACACAGCCCTGCAGGTGCAGCAGTAGGGTCAGCCTGTGGCCGGGCTAGACCCCAGTCTGGCGGCCTACCCACCCCGGCCCAGGGGCCCCCGGTGCAGAGGAGCGGACCCTCTTCTCCTCCGGGTGGGCACACGCCCACTCACATCTCTCCGGAGTGCAGCCCAAACCAGCACAGCAGAGGCCCTGTGGGGGTGGCCTGGACACTGGGCACCCCGACCCCTGCTGGGCTTGAGAACCGCTGCCTCAGGGCCGCAGGGTGCTGTCCCCCCGAGTAGCAAGTGCTGGTCTAGGTACGCAGGGCTCTCTTGTTCCTTAACACACACAGCGAGGCCCTGGCTCCTCTCGGATGTTGGAGAGGCCCTTACTACCGAAAGGGGTCTCTGGGACCCACGCACGAGGGGTCAGGAGCATGGCTTGGGGCCAGGCTGGTGGCCACGGTGACCGACAGTGAGAGGGCCGGCAGTGGGGCTGGTGGGCGGGCCGCCGCTCTGCACCTGCGCTTCCTGAGCACCAGCCTTTAGGATTCTCACTCATCCAGTGAGAAACAAGACTGGCAGTCGCCAAGAGTCACAAACAGAAATGCACGCTGGGTGGGGATGGTCTCCACAGCTCAGGGGTGAGCACGCTGTGCGTGTGAGCTTCTGGCTCCGTGGGTGACTCCATGGGAGGGTGTGAGTCTCACCCTAGCGCAGGGGATGGTGACAGGCCGGGAGGGGCCAGCCGAGCCAGGACATGGGGTTGGGGGGCTATGCTCCCTGGGCCTGGACTCCCACCACCGCCCTGCCGCTCCCCTGGGGCGCCCCCTCACCTTGGGGAGGCCTCTCGGCCAGACTGCCGGCCACAATCTCACGGATGCGGGCAGGCACGGGGGTGGGGGAGGCCCGCCAGCGTCCCCCACGCACAGTCAGCGCGCGGTCTTCTCTGCTGGCCGCGGGGCTCAGGATGGTGTCCTCCAGCCTCTGAAAGACACGCACGAGAGACCCCTGGGGCCGGCAGGCCCTGGCACCACCGCCAGACACCCCCATGAATCCACCTGAGTCAGGGGGGCACCACACCGCCCTGGGGAGGACCGGGCGAGGCTGAGGTCCCCCGAGGCCACCTGTGAAGGGGGAGGCTGTCCTGCCCATCCCGGAGCTGCTCCAAGCTCAGGTGAGGGAGGGAGAGTGGTCAGGGAGCTCCCAGCCCAGGCCCAGCGCGCCTCTGTGGGGTGCCCTGACCTCTGCCCTGGGTCTCTCTGGGGACGCTGGGAGGCAGAGCCCCCGCCTTTGGCGCCCCTGGAGCAGGCGGTCCCCCGGTTTTCACAGTGGGCATTGGCAGGGAGGGGACTGAACCCCACCCAGAGGGCCCAGAGCCCCGTGGACGGAGGGGCTGGCCACCGGTAGCAGGACTGGGTTGCACCCACACGGCTTCCTGGAGAATGAGGCCGGCTGCCCTGTCCACAGGGAGGGGCCGCGGGGGCCCGAGGATGGGGTGGGGCAGGACCGAGGCGGGGCAGCGAGCGCACAGTGGGCACTGTCTGGCCTGGCCCTCCAGAGCAGCTCATCAGCTGCGGAAGCGCTCCAAACAGGCCTGGGAGTGGCAGGAACCCCGGGGTCCCGGGTCCCGGGTAGGAGACCTGGGGTACTGGGTCCCCAGAGGCTGGTCCTGGGCTCCTGGGCGCCAGGCGGCACTTGGCCTCAGCCCTGTGGGTTCCTGGCTGCAGGAAAGTGGCCCGCCGGGGGGGCCTGGGTGCTCTCCAGAGCCCAGGGCAGGGCAGGGCCTTCGCATGGGGCAGATCCCGGCACTGACCATGGGGAAGACGTGTGAACACTGGGGGCAGAGGCAGCCAATTCTGAAGTGGCATGAGTGCTCCGGACGTGAGAGGGCGACGAGAGGGACTGCCCGGGGTCGGGATGTGCCCGGCTGCCCACCGGCCCTGCGGCGTCCACCGTGAGGTTCAGGCCGTGAGTGACGTGCTGAGGGAGGAACTGGCGGTGGATGCCCGCCCTGGGGGCTCTAGAGCAACAGGGCAGGGTGCACTCATGACCTCCAAGGACCCAGCGCCCTGTCCTCTGGCGTCCCGAGACGCTGGCCCCGAGGCTCCCCACGGCTCACTCCCGTCCAGGGCGTGCTGCGTGACCGCTGCCCAGCCTCTCCCTGCCCGTCCTCGCCCCCTCTAGCCTCCCTGGAGACCTTTGTGAGGCCGAGACCCCCCACCTGGCTCTGATCTCCGGCCAGGCTGCTGGGACAGGGGCTTTCTGGGCTCAGCCCTGCCCTCCAGCCATGCCTGGTACAAGCTCAGCCTGATCCATGCTCCTGGTACCGGCTCCACTGACATCTGCCCAGACAGAAGACCTCCTCCACGTCAGCTCCAGGGGGGCCGGGGTCACTCCAGGACCCGAGCTCGTGCATGACCACTGTGCCCCTGTCCCGCCCACAGCAGGGCAGTGAGCCCCAGACACTGAGCCGACGCTGCTGCCCGGCCCCCCAGAGTGACACCCCAGAGGGGGACCCTGGAGTGAGACCCCAGAGGGGGACCCTGGGACTGAGACCCCAGAGTGAGACCCTGGAGTGAGACCCCGGAGTGAGGACCTGAGAGTGAGGACTGTGAGCACCGTGGGAGTGAGGACCCGGGAGTGAGGACTGTGGGGGTGAACACTGTAGGAGTGAGGACCCGGGAGTGAGGACCTGGGAGTGAGCACTATGGGAGTGAGCACCGTGGGAGTGAGGACCGTGGGAGTGAGGACCATGGGAGTGAGCACCGTGGGAGTGAGGACCATGGGAGTGAGGACCGTGGGAGTGAGCACCATGGGAGTGAGGACCGTGGGAGTGAGCACCGTGGGAGTGAGGACCATGGGAGTGAGCACCGTGGGAGTGAGGACTGTGGGAGTGAGCACCGTGGGAGTGAGCACCGTGGGAGTGAGGACCGTGGGAGTGAGCACCGTGGGAGTGAGGACCGTGGGAGTGAGCACCGTGGGAGTGAGCACCATGGGAGTGAGCACCGTGGGAGTGAGGACCTGGGAGTGAGGACCGTGGGAGTGAGCACCGTGGGAGTGAGCACCGTGGGAGTGAGGACCATGGGAGTGAGCACCGTGGGAGTGAGGACCGTGGGAGTGAGGACCGTGGGAGTGAGCACCGTGGGAGTGAGGACCGTGGGAGTGAGGACCTGGGAGTGAGGACCGTGGGAGTGAGCACCGTGGGAGTGAGCACCGTGGGAGTGAGGACCTGGGAGTGAGGACCATGGGAGTGAGGACCGTGGGAGTGAGGACCGTGGGAGTGAGGACCTGGGAGTGAGCACCGTGGGAGTGAGGACCTGGGAGTGAGGACCATGGGAGTGAGGACCGTGGGAGTGAGCACCGTGGGAGTGAGGACCGTGGGAGTGAGCACCGTGGGAGTGAGGACCGTGGGAGTGAGCACCGTGGGAGTGAGGACCGTGGGAGTGAGGACCTGGGAGTGAGGACCTGGGAGTGAGGACCGTGGGAGTGAGCACCGTGGGAGTGAGCACCGTGGGAGTGAGGACCGTGGGAGTGAGGACCGTGGGAGTGAGCACCGTGGGAGTGAGGACCCGGGAGTGAGCACCGTGGGAGTGAGCACCGTGGGAGTGAGGACCATGGGAGTGAGGACCGTGGGAGTGAGGACCGTGGGAGTGAGCACCGTGGGAGTGAGCACCGTGGGAGTGAGGACCGTGGGAGTGAGGACCCGGGAGTGAGCACCGTGGGAGTGAGGACCATGGGAGTGAGGACCGTGGGAGTGAGGACCGTGGGAGTGAGCACCGTGGGAGTGAGCACCGTGGGAGTGAGCACCGTGGGAGTGAGGACCATGGGAGTGAGCACCGTGGGAGTGAGGACCCGGGAGTGAGGACCGTGGGAGTGAGGACCGTGGGAGTGAGGACCGTGGGAGTGAGCACCGTGGGAGTGAGGACCGTGGGAGTGAGGACCCGGGAGTGAGGACCCGGGAGTGAGGACCGTGGGAGTGAGGACCGTGGGAGTGAGGACCGTGGGAGTGAGCACCGTGGGAGTGAGGACCGTGGGAGTGAGGACCGTGGGAGTGAGGACCTGGGAGTGAGGACCGTGGGAGTGAGGACCGTGGGAGTGAGCACCGTGGGAGTGAGCACCGTGGGAGTGAGGACCTGGGAGTGAGGACCGTGTGAGTGAGCACCGTGGGATTGAGCACCGTGGGAGTGAGGACCATGGGAGTGAGCACCGTGGGAGTGAGCACCGTGGGAGTGAGGACCGTGGGAGTGAGCACCGTGGGAGTGAGGACCGTGGGAGTGAGGACCTGGGAGTGAGGACCGTGGGAGTGAGCACCGTGGGAGTGAGCACCGTGGGAGTGAGGACCGTGGGAGTGAGGACCTGGGAGTGAGGACCATGGGAGTGAGGACCGTGGGAGTGAGGACCGTGGGAGTGAGGACCTGGGAGTGAGCACCGTGGGAGTGAGGACCGTGGGAGTGAGGACCTGGGAGTGAGGACCGTGGGAGTGAGCACCGTGGGAGTGAGGACCGTGGGAGTGAGCACCGTGGAAGTGAGGACCGTGGGAGTGAGCACCGTGGGAGTGAGGACCGTGGGAGTGAGGACCGTGGGAGTGAGGACCGTGGGAGTTAGGACCGTGGGAGTGAGGACCGTGGGAGTGAGGACCATGGGAGTGAGGACCGTGGGAGTGAGGACCGTGGGAGTGAGGACCATGGGAGTGAGGACCGTGGGAGTGAGGACCTGGGAGTGAGCACCGTGGGAGTGAGGACCTGGGAGTGAGGACCATGGGAGTGAGGACCGTGGGAGTGAGCACCGTGGGAGTGAGGACCGTGGGAGTGAGCACCGTGGGAGTGAGCACCGTGAGAGTGAGGACCTGGGAGTGAGCACCGTGGGAGTGAGCACCGTGGGAGTGAGCACCGTGGGAGTGAGCACCGTGGGAGTGAGGACCGTGGGAGTGAGGACCGTGGGAGTGAGGACCGTGGGAGTGAGGACCGTGGGAGTGAGGACCATGGGAGTGAGGACCGTGGGAGTGAGGACCTGGGAGTGAGCACCGTGGGAGTGAGGACCTGGGAGTGAGGACCATGGGAGTGAGGACCGTGGGAGTGAGCACCGTGGGAGTGAGGACCGTGGGAGTGAGCACCGTGGGAGTGAGCACCGTGAGAGTGAGGACCTGGGAGTGAGCACCGTGGGAGTGAGCACCGTGGGAGTGAGCACCGTGGGAGTGAGCACCGTGGGAGTGAGGACCTGGGAGTGAGCACCGTGGGAGTGAGCACCGTGGGAGTGAGGACCTGGGAGTGAGCACCGTGGGAGTGAGGACCCGGGAGTGAGGACCCGGGAGTGAGGACCGTGGGAGTGAGGACCGTGGGAGTGAGCACCGTGGGAGTGAGGACCATGGGAGTGAGGACCGTGGGAGTGAGGACCCGGGAGTGAGGACCTGGGAGTGAGGACCCGGGAGTGAGGACCGTGGGAGTGAGGACCGTGGGAGTGAGGACCCGGGAGTGAGCACCGTGGGAGTGAGCACCGTGGGAGTGTGGATCATGGGAGTGAGGACCGTGGGAGTGAGGACCGTGGGAGTGAGGACCCGGGAGTGAGGACCTGGGAGTGAGGACCCGGGAGTGAGGACCGTGGGAGTGAGGACCGTGGGAGTGAGGACCCGGGAGTGAGCACCGTGGGAGTGAGCACTGTGGGAGTGAGGACCCGGGATTGAGGACAATGGGAGTGAGGACCCGGCAGTGAGGACCGTGGGAGTGAGAACCCAGGAGTGAGGAGCCTACTCTCCTTCAGCTGCTATGGGCATCTGTATACCCTGGGAGGCCTTGGTGAGTAACCTTCAGTGCACCTCCCTGCTAACCCCTCAGCTTGACCGGTGAGTTGTGAGTAGCCTCCCTGAGCTGAGAGAGGGGAGATGTGGGCCATCCCTTCTGGGCCCAGCCGGGGATGGGGCGCCAAGACCACCAAGGCCTCCCCGGTCCTCCAGGAAGGCGAGCCCAAAGGCAGGCGCTGAGCCGTGG